ACTTTCTAAACATACAGCTGCATGCTTTGCTTCGATATGGCAAAATAACCAGGAATTGAAGGGTAAGTTACTGTTTTCTTGCTTTACTGTTACTTTTTCGTAAAGGCTTGATGGACTGAAATTGATAATGTCTATTTAAAATCGGAGAGAAGCAAGATATTGTCTTTCCTCGACCTATACTGGAGAGAAATGAAATCGTCCCGATTCCGCGATCTCACACCTCACTCGTCCCAATTGTTATCAGTGCGCGTTATTTGGTTCAACCTTATTTAATTGGTTTTCTTGTAACCCAAAATAGGGAAATCAACGGTGAACGGACAGTAACATCGAGGCCAAGCTCTACCCAGAAGTTCTCCAGATACAAACAGGCTGGCGGAGGAGCTTTTATTCCTGTGACGCTCTTGGTGGAAGGACCACAGCGTTACAAAGAATTTCTCCTAGAAAGAATCCGCTTTACTCTTCCAGAATGCGAGAATGTCGAGGACATGTATGTTGAATGTTTGAAATAAACGAATATTTTTAATGGTATCTTACGTCCAGTCCTTATTGGCGAATTTTTTTCAGCTTACTACCGCATTACAACATGGCCGCCACAAAAAAAAAAAAAAAAAATCAGCTTCTTCTTGTTTCCAGCACCTCTCGGCCAAATTTGCTTTGTTTTGGTTTTGATCTCACCCAATCACAAAGCTCGAAACCGATATCCAGAAATGGTTATGGCCCGAACTGACAAATTTGTGACGGATTCGAAATGCTGTTGTGCGCAGACAACTCGCGTACCAGGTTACAATTGGTTAAGTATGGGTCGTGCAATACCGACGAGCCTAGGTCTTTGGGCACGGGCCGAATTTATATATGGCCTATACAAGTAGTTATAACTTTTTTTTGAATAATTTTTTTTAAGCTGAAGCAAGGCGTGCAGAAACATCCGACGATGATGTGCCGCCAGCACTTGGCGAGAGGAGGTAAGTAGAAGTGGTAACCCCACTCGCTCAGTGGTTATCGTTTCCACGTTTTTAGAAAATACCGAAAATTGTTTTCGGTATTCCACGTAGTTAGCAATTCATTTTGTCCGCATTGTTTAGCTTTAATTTCTTTAGATATCAGTGACTTTATACTTCATATTGATATTTGATGTGGGACATTGTACTTAGCATGAAGGTGGTCTTTACAAACCAATTTCATCAATATCTCAGGGAGGATGAACGAGTTAACCCAGCAGAACTGCCAGATCAGCCTCGTAGTAACACTGAGCTGAATTCATTGGAACTGCCAGATCAACCTCCTCGTGGCACTGAACAGGCTTCAACTAGTCTGGGGAAGCAGCCGCCCAAGAAGAGTGAGTTTCTGAGCCATGTTAAAATTACCCGTGGAGGTTGATTATTAAGGGGGGCTCTTAAGAGTTTATGATCATTGATAAGTGCGTCTAAAGGAATGAAACTCCAATCATATATTGTTTTTTATGCACCAACCGTGTGTACATTTATTATACGCTGCTGTTGCCTTTATACAATAATTTAAAGTTGATTGTAACATTTGTCATACAATAATTTATAGTTGGTTATATTCATTTCTGCTGTCTATCTAGGGAACCTGTAACGTACGAGGAGCATCTTAGAAATGCATCAGAGGAAACATTAAAAGCCACGTAAATGCAGATTGATAGAATTATTCTTCGTACATTTTGCTGGTTGTCTTTTCCGTACTCTACAGTATAGTTGGTGTTCGTGTGTATGAACTTTAGTTGTGATATCGTTTTATGGGAAGGAAGGGGGAAATTAGGCGCCCGTCCAGTGATATATCGTGTTAAGAACAACCCTTTATGTCCAGAGATCCGTTAGTCGATTTTACAACTTTGACTTTGGCACTCAACTATTGGTGTAAGAAGCTAAATACAATCGGGCCGACTGCTCGTTAATAGACCGGTTTAGTGCAGGTGTTACCGGCATACTTTTTGGATTTATTCAAATTTGACGGGCATTACGCCTCTTTGATCTTTTCAAATTTATTTCAGGGCTACTTGTGACGAGCCTGTTACCGTCTTAGCAGAGTTCACGCTAAAGTTACATCGAGGGCGAATGCTTGACCTTAGGAAATGCGTGAGAGAAAGACCACGAAAATATTTGTCTCTCGTTACCGCCTCGTCGATGATGCAATGGAAGAGATATTGAGGGAAGATCCGCCAGCGATTGGTTTAAGTGTACCTTTAGATGTGATCTTCACCAGTGAGGGCGCTCAAGATTATGGTGATCCAAGGCGAATTTTTGGGCATGGCGATGCGCGAAATACGTGACAAGCTCTTCAAGGAAGAAAGAGAAGGCTACATTATTTTTGAGAAAAAAAGAAGCTTTAAACAGGGAACAGTATTATGTAGCCGGTCTCTTTTTTGGAAAATATGCAAAGCCTACTTAGACACATATGTCATTTGTACTTGAGCACACAAGAATACAAGAATTTAAATTTACCTTTTTATTGCAGGTTTCAGTTTGTTGCAAGGTGGTCCTTTGACTATTTTCCTTGCTGAAGACCCGCTTTAGGTTATCTTCACAAAAGAGGATTTGACCAATCTGGGGGAAGCGGAAACCCAAGTCGAACTTGTTGAGGTACGCTTTCACAGTGACCGGTTGTTATCGATGGTCTAATATTCACCCTTTATTTAGGCAAGAAAACAAAATTTTTTAATGACTACAGTGCAATCTTACAATACCCACTCTCGCTAAATACGGACAGTTTCTCGTCAAGCGCTCCCGACGAAACACCCACACATTTTTTTGTCTTTTTTACATGTGATAAGCTCTTGTCTAACCTCCTTGGGATCTCTGCAGTCTAAGAGCTGGTCTAAAAATAGCTGGATAAGAATTGGCTATAGAATAGGGACTCTATGAAGGATGCCCTCTGTTCCCTTTGATCCTTTCTTGCTCACACAAAAGATTTGTATTCCCTTGGTCTCTTACAATTTTTTATAGTTCCATACTTTCCGAGAAAATGACTCTTGTTTTCCTCTTAATCTGTTAGCTTCTTCATGGGAAACCGAGTCTTTCATTCCTGTTCCGAAAGACAGCAGTGCTACCTATGACATACCCCAAACTGTTGAGACTATTGGACTCTATATTTCCGAAGAAGCGACTAATCGAGGACAGCGGGAAGAAAAAACACACAGGTAACTGTCGTTCTCTTTTCTCTGGTCTAAGAAACATCGCACTAGCTAGACAGTTGTAACTTTGCTTTAGACAGATGCTATAAGTTGCGCTTTATATCTACGCAGTTAAATATAAGATCAAAAAACAGGATAAAGCGATCCTTAAAATAGTTCAACAGAGTAATAACCACCCTCTGAAGGTTTGCATACCGTAAGAAAAGAACAATTTACCCTACAACCTTAGACGTAAAAGCTGCCAATGGTCTAAGATAAACACTGAACGTTATAAGAACACATTCGTAAATAGATTAATTTTCAAATACAACTTTTTATGATATTTTATGCTGGATATATTGTATCTAATTTGATCTTTTTTTTTTGTTCTATTGTAATTTTTGGCTGAACCTTGAATCTTTTTATCCTGTAACATTAGATATGTATTTTTATCTAATGAGCAATAAAGACCGTTATAATTATTATTATTATTATTTATGTCGATCGAAATTTTCCACAGAGCGCATAAGAAAGAATTGGGATTTGAAGCTTTATGAATGCACTGCTAATTTTTATGTTTTTCTCTTTTTAGCTAGAGGAAGGGTAGATTGCAGCATATATCTCCATAGCATTTTAAAGTTCGTCACTGGATGGATGCGAGAACGAGCCTGTTCTGGGTTTCAAAATGAAGCCCACTATTGTTTTTTTATACGAACATGCCATCTTGCCTTCCTATGAGCAATACTTGCATTAGTAGGCTGACTTTGCCGATAAGTGAGAATGTGTCAGTGACCAAGGAAGAAGTATTCTCTTTCTTTGGCGCTTTCGCAAATGATTACTTTGGCCGTCTTTAAGTGAAATTGCTGATTTCTTATTGATTCTCTTTGAGCTTGGGAGCGTGCTTTGATTGCCAAAGTGATTTCTTTTTAAATTTATAAGTTTAATTTAGTTTCTGTGCTCTAAATCAAGCGACGTATTACAGCAGAGTTGAAAAGGCAAAAAAATTTCAAAAGTCCAGTTAAAAAAAGAGCGTTAGTTTAGGCTGTATACTAAAGGATCATTTGGTGCAATCCATATTAGCAATATTGTGTATATGTTTTTGTTTGCCCCTCATTGAATTCTGATTATGAAGTAGATTTTTAAGAGCGTGGAAATGGGCCTGAGATGAATGAAATGAAAATGCATTGAAAAGGACAAAGTTAATGTTGCAAAATACTCATTTAAACAAAAGTAAAGCGAGGTACTTTTATCACGCAATTTTTAAGGCTGTTACGATTTAAATTACTATACTGTTTAAAAGTTCCAATTGATACATTTTGGAATTAAAATAATATCTTTTATGTGATCTGTGTGCTGTCTATTCATAGTCAGACGTAACTTGCACTCGCTATTTCAGCACCACTTCCACTCAGCTTAGGTTGGGGTAATCACAAACTGAGATGTAATCTCAGATTAGGATAGGATACACTGAGTGATGCCAGGTGTACTCATTTTCCCGGTATAACCGATGTAGACAAAAAACAACACACTTTCCAACGAAATAGAAAAGTAAGATGGTGGGGGGGAGGGAACCAACTTTAACATATGTGGCGGCGTACACTGGTACCTCATACAAAATGTTGAAACCTAAGTTAGATTAGGAGGTTGCCTCTAAAAGAAATGGTGCAAAGTTATTGAGACCTGAACTATAACAACAAATATGTAATAAAAATAGTGAGATAGGTGACAGCTACCTTATCAGTTTGTGATTCCCGTTCATATGCCAGAGGGCCTGTGGGGAACGTGCGTTAAACACGCGTCTGCGGATGGCATTCATGGACCTTAGCCTCCAGCCAATGAGATCGACTCTCTTTATGGCACTCTTTAGTCTCTACCTCTGCACTGATACACCTTGGGAAACAAGGTAACCCTCGATTGTTTTGGAACCTGTCAACAAAAATAAGGGAAACAGTGGTGGTCAACCCTCTTGATTGTTTTGGAACCTGTCAACAAAGCGTGTTAAGAGTAAGCAAAATTTTGTGCAAACACTGCGGCGGGCTTAACGCCCTGTTACACAGTGGTGAAGTCAACGCCTCTTGTGCTTTCTTGAATTCTCTGTTTAAAGAGTACAAAGCGTGTTCCGGATAAGCAAAATTTTGTGCAAACACTGCGGCCGGCTTAACGCTCTTGCCTGTAAGTTGGTCGCGTTTTGTAAGAATCTGCTGGAAGAGAACAGCATACGGGATTTTCAGAAACGGTCGTAAGTTTACGTTCATACTGAAAAAAAGATGTTTGCGTTTGCTATGTGTGATTATGTCTACGTTTCTTGAGGTGTTCAATAAATAACGCGTATCGGCCGACAGGCTTCAATTCCTTTTTTAGCAATCTGAAAGAAATAGAGGTAAACAAGAAAATTTCCCCTTTCAGATGTTTATCATGTCTAGTTCCAGAGGAATAAATTGTTCTGTCATTATGTACTGGTTCTCAAACTGTTCATTACCAGGCTACGGAAAAAAAAAATCTTCATTTGTTAACTGAACATGAGTGGCTACAGCCTAAAAAGATTCTATGAGGACTTACTCGATCTAGGAAAATTTGTCATAATACGATGGATTAAATTATCCAGGAAATCGTCCTCTTCGTCACTGTAGCGGGACTTGTTCGTCAACACATACTCGGCCATCAAGTTTTCAGTAGTTCGCTTGCTAACGTCAAGCATTAGAGCCATGTCTTTATGCGTGAAGTTGTTCTCTAACAAAGATAACTACTGTTCATAAAGGAAAACACAGTTCTTTGAGAGTAGATAGTTTACATTAAAAATTGAATGAAACTTTCAAAAGGGGAACTCACTAAAGATATTATGGATAACCTAAGAGCCATCCGGACCAACAACGACGTAGAAGGATGGCACAACGGGCTCAACCGACGGGCGCAGGTAGGTTAATTATTTGCTTGTCATTACGCTACGGCTCTTCGGTTTTGTCGCACATTTCCTCCTTTCGAGTTCGGGTGTTATTTCCATATTTATATGTATTTTCCTCATTTTCTTCGCAGGGAAAACATGAGTAAATAACATATTTCTTGTTTTTAAACTTGACGAAATTCTTTCCGAAAGAACCCGAATGATTGAGGGCTGTAAATACGGCAAGATCTTCCATAAACTGAACAATTTTTGAGCGAGTAAATGGTAGTTAGAATAGAGGTGATGCAAAGTAAAGAGAGATGCCTCAGCGAAACATTTTCATTTCCGTAACGATGAAGGTGATTTAAAAGGCTTCCAAACAAACTTTGAAACATCATTTTTACAAGTATCTGTCACAATTTGACACCTGTCAATTAGAGAGCGCGTAAGAAAAAAAAAAGAGCAAGAAGATTTGAAAAACAACGGAACTAGTTTGGCAAGGACTGTCACGACATTGTTTTCTTCAAAAACAGTCAATGATCTAACGGAAAGTATTATTCACTCTGATTGACGATTCATTCATGTACGAAGATTTACCTCTGTTCATTAAGGAAACGGCGAGGAAAGTAATTGTGAGTAAATTCAATTTTTATATTTTGAAGTTGTGAGAGTTTGCTCGTTTGTTTACTGTAATGGCGTGTGTAAATCTGATTCTTTCCTTCACAAAAACTAAATTCGAACGGCACACTCCAACGAGACACAAGGGAATTTAATGCGGCCTTTTCTCAAAAATTCCTTCAGTTTCTCTTGTGCAATTTACGGTACAAATGTCCAAATTGAACGGAATTGGAAAGACTCACCGGGAGCGTATATTTGTCGTAAAACTTAAATTAAAACTTTGCTCACTCTTTCACTACGAAAAAATTGCTCGAGAAAATTCAGATATTAAACGAATGAAAGTTCCATCGTTCAGTTTAACTGTAACCAAATACCTCACGTTTTAACTTTCTGGGTACTTTTTGTGAGCGATTAAAATTAATTGCAGACGGTTTTTAGGCCGCTTGTCAACCAACGTAATGACACTCTTGTTTATACAAATTCATTCTGAAACCAATATTTTTCTGTCAACCAAAGTGATTTGAGAGAGAGAAAAGAGAGGATTCATAAGTTATTTATCGGCTTGAGGTAGTGACCGACGTGTTTGTTTAAAAATACTGCCCAACCGGAAAACGTGATACATTTATGAAAAATGACAATGAAAGTTGGGATGTACTCGGCGACTCACGAAAGCGTTACCGTGGCCCGTGGGCAGAGATAGGAAAATACTGACCAGGTAAAGAACCAATCAGATTGCAGGATTTGTTACCGTGCCCTCTAAAAAAACAATTATACCAAATGTACAAAACTTGATCCATGGTGGTTAATAGAGTGGGATGCAATTATAAAATCACGTGTAAGATTTCACACCAAAATTGCTCGACAGGAAGTTCAATTGTCACTTTATTACAGCTCTTTCGAAATCGCTAAATTTATGCGCCCAAATACATAATTATGCAATAAAAATATGTTCTTGATCCAGGCTGAGCTTGTTTGTAAAAACAAAAGCAGCTCACGAGTAGGCACTCATTATCGGCGCTTTGGCACGAAAATGTTTCCGCCTGCAGAAGTGAAAAATATCCACAAATAAAAATGCGACTTTGTGAGCATCAGAATACAAAATATACACGGGGGAAGGGAAGAGTAAAAGTATACTCAACCTAAAAAAGAGCTATAATAGTATTGTAGTCGCTAATTCACAATTTATTTGTAAGCTCCAAAACAATCGAGATCAGTTATATGATTCGAATATGTACGAGCCTTAGGGAATCCGCAGTAAGGTTAAATGAAAAATTACAACAACAACATGTCCGACTCATTTCTTATGCGCCTTATGGGAGGCACTAGAACGAGAAATTCCTTCCCTAAAAATGTTCAACAAAAGGTAACAACAAGTAGACTGGTATTTTGATGCGTCCGATCTTCTTGAGGATAACTTGAACATTTCAGAGGTACAGTTGAATAAAGGAGCTAAAGAACAATTCAATCTCTGAAAAGTGCTTTATCATTATGGTTACGGCTTGGTAAGTTTTCAAATACCTTACGGCTCAGAAATCAGAGTAGGAATTTCGCTTTTAGCTACCAGTAGATTTACCTCTTCGTTAAATGAAGCCTTTGCCGAGGTTTTTTTTTCCTGTTTTGTTTGTTGATTTTACCGATAATTTCCGGTTCGCTAACGATATTTGAGTAAGGTCAAGAAATTGCATATGGTCTTTGCAATTCAATCTGCAAACGTTTTTGTCACGTGCAACCATACGTATATTTATATATATATATATATAAATATATATATAAACATATATTTGTATTCTTTCTATTTTGCTTTGGGATTATAAAAAATATTTGATTAAATTCATCATTCATTCGATAGTTTTTCGTTTTAAATGAATTGTTCAACTTTCCCTATTTTACCTTGGCTTATTCAGATGTAGAGGATCAACAGTTGTTTACTACGTGTTGTATCTGTTTCTCGTTTTCTAGAAGTTCTGATCTATGCAGAAGTGTGTCAAAAACCCAGTTTGCATCAGGGAGAGTTCTTACAAAAATCATAGAGGCGCTGTTTATTAAAGCCTAATCTCGTCGATAACAAAAACGAGAAAAAAGCTTCGTGATCTCCGCTTGCTCAACCCACGCATTACAACTTTTTGCGGAATAATCAGTCCTTGAGAACGCTTTGAAGTTTACCGTTAAACTGACTAATCAAACAGGATAAGATGTGTTTTACTTCCTTGAATACTTCCTTGAATCGACCGTTCGCTTCCCTTAAGCATGAAGCGCTCGCCTACTAAGACTCAACCTTAGAAGCAGCTGGTGTTTCATATTGGGCCCTGACGAGTTTCACTTTTTTTTTCTTTCCAAGGTTGAAGTTCTCGCCCCGCTATTTTGAACATGGGTAACGTCAAAACCAAATAATTAATCCCATAAGAAAGACAAAACAACAATAACATTTGAAAGCGATCAACCTCTGTAAATTTAGTCTTAGGGATTTTAAGTTCAAATGATAATCAATATCATCATCATCATCATCATCATCATCATAGCTATGAAAAAATGCAATAACAGAGTTTGATTAAATTTATGAAGAATGTGAACGCATATATTCCGTTGCATTGTTGATCCTGATACTAAGTGTAGCGGATGACCTTAACTTCTTCTTTCCTTCTATTCATTACCTATAAAGAGGAAAATATTAAAGAAAACTCGCTTTACATCAAAGAAAAATAGGCAAACCTGGCCTAGAAGGCTTCGTGCAACACGCTTTTCTAAAACTGCTGACTTAAACTTTCAAGGATAGATGTTTATTACAATGAAAGTGCATGAAAATGTGCAAAATTCGTTCAAGGCTGAAAAACTATTTAATAAATTGAAGTGAAACATAATAATTTGTATTAACTCATTATATATGTATTCACGTTTAAAAACGAAACAGCGATGAATTTTAGGAGAAAAATGTTTATTTCTTGCACTAATTGCTGTAAATAGGGAAGATTAAAGGCGTGGGCTGTTTTTTTTCCTTCCTTTAGGCCTCCGCATGACGTTTCTGAAAAAAAAAAAAAAAAACATCCTTGAACTTCTAAGTTAGAAGCGATTTAAATTTCAAAAAATTTCCTGCTCTACGAAAATAGGTCGTTAGCTCTGAACTAAAAAATGCTCTTCCATAGGGCTACCATCGGGGAGTATAAATTCAGTTGACTGCTGCAGTTCTAGCTTATAACTTAGCATTCTCGCTTCTTTTAGAAGTTCAAGTCTAAGTTGAATTTAACTTTCGTACAATGTCTCGTATTTTCCCATGTTCTTTCCGAATCTTTTTGTTCATCGCGTTGGTTTCTGAGAGTCAGACTTTGGCTCATCCCGTCACATCATTTAAAGGTTTGTGCCAGGTTATTCTTTTTCCATACTCAAAATTTATTATTTTTCTCGAAGTGCAGTAAGCGAGGTTGACGTTATGGCGTCAATTCTCGTCCTGTGTTCAGCTGAGTAGAGTTTCTGTGCAACCACGGTAATAGAGATTTTAATGTGTATGAACTTGGTTTTTTTTCTTTCGTTTTTTGTCTTATCATCATTCTCGTCATTAATTTTCGAATGACTGCGTTTTTGTTTCTTAAGCTTAACATCTGGCTTTTGCCTGGATTAAAATCAATTTTAACTAGGTCATTTTTTTATTGCTTTTTTTTTTTCAGTTTAACTTATCATGTTAATCTTTCATTCAACAGCTAATTGTGCTGAGCTTTTTATGGCTGGTAATAGAACCAGTGGTGTCTATACGATTGATCCTGATGGTTTAGGTGCCTTTGATGTGTACTGTAACCAGAGCACGGCTGGTGGTGGATGGGCAGTTATCCAGAGGAGACTAGACGGATCTGTCGATTTTAATCGTACTTGGTGCGACTACAAGCATGGCTTTGGTAACAAGAGTGGTGAGCATTGGCTGGGCCTGGACAAGATAAACCGCCTCACTTGGAGAACAAAGAACAAGCTACGAGTAGATCTGGAATCTGAAATTTATAAACCTTACGCCGAGTATGACTTGTTCGCAGTTGAATCGGAATTGAAAAATTATTCCTTGATTATTGGTAGGATGTCTTCGGGTAAGTTATTTGCTAGTTCATAATTACTATGATTAGTTTAAAGTGAAGGAACAAATTAGTTCATAAGCTAGATGTTTTACATCGAAAATTACCCTTACTGAATTTTGAACGGTATGTTACATCTTAAAAATAAGGCAATCTTTTGATGCAGTCTTGCACTTTGATCATCGGAGGGACTTCAAAATATATTTTTTTGTGGTAGGTCATAATTATTATGATCCATGGACTGAAGTAGTGTCTAAAGTAACAAATCAATAAATCAGCTAGACTTTGAGGCGAGGAGATATCGGATGGTTGAAAATGATCTGACAGTCGAATTGATGATTCAGGTGAAGTTGATAGGTACGATGTTGATAAGTTACATTCAGCGAACACAAACACTAGGATAAGGTCTTAATAAAGCCTTAACTGCTCATACGTAAGTAACAGACTGGAGAATGTGCAATTCGCAACTTGCCTTTAGATAGACAGCCGATGTTTTTATTGGATGTTCACTTACCACAAATTTTCTTGAAGCCCCTGTATGCCGCGTAAAGAAAGCCAATACGGATCATTATGTAGACCCTTAAGGGTATCCGATAATATGAGACTTAAGATTAAAAAAAAAAAAAACAGTTGAAGACGTATCTATTTTGACAGGCCTTTGCCAATCGTTTATGTCAATTTATTGCATTTTAATATTTAGAGTAAGAACCTATAATTTTTACGCTAGTGATGGCCTTGTAAATTCTGTCTCAGGTTTCATCATTTTATTTTATATGCAAACTCTGTAAAGTGCTTTTAAATATTTATGAGAAAAGAATTCTATGAATGATTATTATTTTACTAAATTACTTTTTCTTTCTCTCTCTCCGTGAAGGAAATGCCAACGATTCTTTTGATAGCAATAACCACGCCCAATTTTCAACAATAGATAAAATAAAAGGCGACCCAAACTGCACTAAAAAATTTGGCGCTTGGTGGTTTTCAAACGATCCATGGACCTGTGGTAACTCGAACCTCAACGGAAACTACAACCAAAAGAGTGGTTTGAGATGGGATAACTGGGGTAAAGACCCAGATGTACCCATCACCAAAGCTGAAATGAAGATCAAGCCGGATTGCCCAGGAGAATAATTTATGGAAACTTTACGAAACCGTGTTTGAAAAGTTAACAATAAAATGTATTTGCAATGTATTATTTAAGTTTTGTGTAACTCACTGGATGTGCAAAGTATGTTGAACCAAAGTGCGGAGAAGGTTATGGAACAACTCAGCCACACCAACTGAGCCGTGAAACCATTCTTGTCTACAGACATATCTTATTCGTTAGCGCGTATTGTGTGCCCTTCATATTTTCTTACTCTTCGAAATCGTGACGCGTCTCCAAGTGAAAAGAGGGTTTTTTCCCCGCCAAAATACCACATACCTGTTATTTTAACATTACTGTCATACGCGCTGAAACTTTGTATTCGGGCAGTCGGAGGAACACTTGATATCTTTTTCCACGTTGCGCACAGCGGACATATAGAAATTTCGGTCATATATTGTGTAATTCGTTGAAATACAACAATTAACAGAGACGAGGAAACTGTACTTATACGAAATTATGCTAATTTGTACTGATAAAGGTTTTAAGCGCTTTTATGAACTTGTTTTTAAAAAGGGCTTAGGTCTCCTTTTACCAGAACATAACAGGTCGACACCCATCCTAAAGAGAAAGGATGATTCGTTGTATTTAAGTCACAGCTAGTGTAATTTATGATAAAGTAAATACTTAAGCATGGACTCAGCATATAAATTATTTGTGCGTGGTGGCCACATACCTTCACCATTCTTTCCTTTCTGGGAAAAAATGTAGTCAAAGTGATAGGAGTTATGATCCACCAAGAGAACACTGTAAGTAAACATCCCATTCAGCAAACAGAACCTGAGGGTAACTTGAAAAAGTGTATTGTGATCGTCCAGATGAGTGTAGTCCTGAGAAGGATTGTTTTCGGTAGTGGTGACTGACGTTTCATCATCAGTGTCAAGTGAATAGTTGTTGTCAGTCGAATGTTCTAAGTCCGGTTTGTATAAACTGATTGGTCAGTTTTGCCCTGGTGTTTTTGGCTGCAAAACTCAAGTGGTGTAAGTCGGTAGTGATTGATCGGTCTCGATCCGTCTGTAAAGTTAGGTCGTTCTGTTCGTTTTTAATGTGAATTTCGTAAATCAGTCGTTTGTATGGTGCTTCTGGTGGTCGACACCTGTTGAGGGAGTCTTCTAAGTTTGTAAACCAGATCAGTCGTTGACAATAATTGGTGCTGTTGGCTAGGCATTGCGTAAAGTCCCAGTCAATATTGTGGTTCGTAAGTCCATGATGTTCAGCGATGTGATTGTTGACATCACCTTTCCTCGTCGCACGCTTGTGCTCAGTCAGTCTTGTTGTGAGGTTTCTGCCAGTCTCTTCGATGTAGGAGGCGTGGCAGTCATTTTAATTGACTTTACAAACCGTTCGTTATCTCTTCCTCTGTTTGTCGTTGTCTCTTTACAATCACCGTACTGTTTGTAGTGTTTAACTTTGTACGGAAAGTAAGCAAAAGTTCCTTAAGTCCATTATGTCAGTAGTGGTAGAGGGTCGGTAGAACGTGGGATTGCAGTATCAATACATTCTAGTGCCATTTTAAGTGAAATACTTGTAAAATTAATTTCACATCAAATGACACTAGTTGGTAGTTGTCAGGTATTTGTACAGTCTTGGTGGCGTTAATAAAGTCCTCGGTGAATTGCAGCCGTCTGGATTTGTCGGTCAGCGGCTATGATATTGTCGTCAGATACTTGGATAGTTGGTGTGTAGGAGAACCACAGAAAGAAACAAAAGATCTCATCGGGAAAGTAGGTTTGTGTAGTTTCGGCAGACCGTAAAGCTTCGGTGGCTGTGTTGCTGAGCACCTTAGTCGAGGGTTAGGATAGGGTTAACTGACTACTGAAAAATTTTAACTGAGAACTGACAAATCGTTGAAAATCTGAGTGACAACTAACATTGGTGGTGGGCTTCTACTGACATCTGACAAAAGACCGAATCGCCTAAATATCCTAAAAACTGGCTGTAAAGTAAGGACAGTTGATTTATTTTGTCCAATAAAAGTACGTTTTTTTATTAACTATCAGCAGGAGTACACCAGAGTGTCATATCTCGTTTAGAATTACCGCATGGACCATCCATATCAAGGTCATATGTTACATATCGGTTATACCATTTCTGAAGTGAAAAAACGGCACTGGTTAAGGGAAACCACAGCAACCAACGGCCCCGAAGGAACTGTGTCTAATAAAACTCGTCTCACTTAAGTTTCTCGAAGAGGGAATGTACCGCCTGCACAACAGTATGGCTTCAATTAACAATGATTATCTCGAAGATATTGTATTGTGCTCATTACTCACAACAGTTGTGGAGAACATACGCACAGTTTCCCATTTTAAGCATGAGACCGTCACCACATTGCAGTATTCCCAAGACTTTGGAATGATTACCAAGGAGTCGGTGATGAGAGTAACAAAATGGGCAGCCAATTATTTTACTCATGAAAAATCCTACTATCCTGTCCCTCTGACCAGCAAGAAGTTCGTAAATTTGACCTCTATGCGACGTCTACCTTCAGAAGAGATCAACACCGAGACTGAAAGTGCTATGAAAGAATTTGTAGAGAAGTATCGTTCTTGTTGGCGGAACTAGGGAACGATTTTAACTCTTGAGATCAACCAGTAGGGCTCAGTAGCGACAAAGGAGCGTTCAAGCTACTTCGGAAGGTGGGAGCGTGACAGATGTCACATTTGTTGAGGAAAGAATTTGTAGAGAAGTATCGTTCGTTGAGGCGAAGGACAGTTCAGGAAGAAACTACCAAAGACAAGACAGGGGCTATACCACTGGCCGTCTACACGAAGCAACAAGATTCCATCAAAGTGGACTTGTTGGCGGAACTAGGGAACGATTTTAACTCTTGAGATCAACCAGTAGGGCTCAGTAGCGACAAAGGAGCGTTCAAGCTACTTCGGAAGGTGCGACGTCTACCTTCAGAAGAGATCAACACCGAGACTGAAAGTGCTATGAAAGAATTTGTAGAGAAGTATCGTTCGTTGAGGCGAAGGACAGTTCAGGAAGAAACTACCAAAGACAAGACAGGGGCTATACCACTGGCCGTCTACACGAAGCAACAAGATTCCATCAAAGTGGACTTGTTGGCGGAACTAGGGAACGATTTTAACTCTTGAGATCAACCAGTAGGGCTCAGTAGCGACAAAGGAGCGTTCAAGCTACTTCGGAAGGTGGGAGCGTGACAGATGTCACATTTGTTGAGGTGGCAGTTGCTCAGGTGCGAACATGTGCAGACCAATGCGACACGGACTCAGAAAACTATTTTTCTGACCGAGAGGATGAAGACATTTATCCAATTACGGTTTCTGGATCCGGGCGGCCAATTCGCGTTCATTTTCGCTTGGATTTCTAAGGTACGCTTACAGTAGATGTCTCTAACAGCCTAATTGAAAAGTGGACAAAAAAACATTGCTTTTGGATCATATCATCGAAACCAATCGCAATTCACGCATTGTAAAACAAAACTTAAAACCAAAATATTGTGCTAGAGGACTCTTTTCACGTTTGTTGTCTTTCTGACGATCTTCTCTCCAACATTTTGACCGGCTAAACGGTTGAAAAGGAATGTTTCAATGTTGCACACGGGCAAACAGAAGTTTATGTGCAGAAGAGTTGTACTTACTTAAACAACCTGAAAGTCACTGGGAAGATCCTGGAATTATTTCGTTCCAGAATTGAGAAAAAGGAGTTCTTGTTGTATCAATTTTCGACTTAGTTTTTGATGGAGTTTACGCTGTATGTTCCTTTTTAGCCAAAAATATGCTCGGAAAGTGATGATTAACTCACCAAGTTAATAATAAGCAAATTAAAGATATTTTAGTTATAGAAGAATGTATTACCCTAACAACATTTTATTGGTGAACGCGGTAACTGAAAAAAATAACTGTGCCGGTGAAAGAATGAGATCGAGATAGTCTTTTGCGAATTTTTTTAAAGACTGAAGATATCAACACGAATTTTGATTGACTACCGATAGGTATATTAAATATGATTCCTATTTGTTACCTTTCAATCAAAATCAAGCCAGACTTTCAATTAAAGTATCTAGCAAATCAAACTTCAGAAGAAAAAGGTCTGATGATGAAAGAAATCCGACTGGCTCTCACGAAATCGTAACAAGCTTGTTTTTAATTGTTTTGTTTTGTTTTTTGTTTTTTGTTTTTTTAATTTCATGAACTGACAAGTTTTTAGTATTGTTCCTTCTTGCCCTAACCACCACGTGTAATTCAAAAAATGATAGGGGAATTGCAAGAACTGACAAAAAAAAAAGCGAAATCTTACCTTACAGTTCAGAGGTCTCGCGCTTAACCAGAATCCGTAGGAGTCAAACATTCTCTTTGGAAAACCTTCCATTGCAGCTTTCTTTTTTATGCCCATTCCAGTTCATAAAACAGAGCTGAACATTTTTGTTCCAGGTTTAATCACGAGGAACTGACGTACGAAGATCAGGTTACAAATAATAATTTATCTTGTATACGTTACGGTCACATCTCAACTTTAATTAATTGTCCTCTACAAAGAAACTACCGAACTGTATTTTAAATAAGCGCCTAAATTGAAAAAGGAATCCTTCGATATTTGAAAGTTGATTTTTATCCCATACCCCTCTGGGTCCCAGAGTCATCAAAGCTTTATATGTCTGATCGCCGTTTTTTAACGATTCCTGGCTTGTTTCCTTGAAATCTTGAGATTCTCGTGTATTGAAAGTTTCAAGGATTTATTATTGTAAGTTCATCCATTATCCCGTTTTCGTCTGGTTTGTTTCGTCCCTGTTCTTTCTTGTGAAGCAGTCGTGTCACTTCCTGTTGATGTCCAGTACAGGCACGTTTAGTCGTCTTGTTGTTGCAAAAGAGAACTTGTTGCTACGCAACAAAGAACAGAGGCGAAGTGAACCGGAGGACAACTGAGTAAGAAAAATCTCTTCCCGTCCCTTATACAATACTGAAACCATTTTTCCAAGTACCTGATTACAATACTAAAATCGCTGAACCACAGGTCCAGGCGTAAACCACGATCCACCGATAACGCCAAGACTTTACAGATACCTGTACAGACTACAAACTAGTGTCATTTAATGTGGAATCTCTTTTCACAAGTATTCCACCTTAACTGGCACTAGAATGTACTGAGACCGCAATCCCACGATTTACCGAAGCTCGCAGTATCCTCGAGCTTTACTCTCGGAAAACTGTTCGCATCTCGGAACAGATAATGTCTGCCAACAAAAACCTATGCGTATTTTCGCGCTAAATGACGGCTATTGTTTATTCAGTGCACCAAAGCAGTGCATTTCTTAATGGAATGTTATATAATTTTGGAAGCTTTAAGAAAAAAAAAATCACGTTTTTAGCTCCAAAAACAATTGCACAACCAAAATCAGGATAAATACAAAAATAGCGAAATTACGGTACGATACTTCGCTTGCAGAACGGTAAAACAATTTTAAAAAGGAACAATTTTCTGCGATATAGTTCAATTATTTCTGCAATGATGAGTTCATTTATATAAAAAATCAGAGGGTTGGATATTTATTCCTTTTTGGGGATATAAGTATTTATTTCCTTCTTTGTATCTCTCAACAAGACGGATAAGATCTTTCTTTAACAGCATAGTTTGTAAATTCTACAAGACGAAAGATTCTATGATTACATGATTGTGACTAAAATCCTGACTTTAAGCGCTGTCACTTATCAAATTATTATAATGTAGAAAACTGAAAGTGACACAACTGAAGTTAGTTTTACGTTGTGAACTAAAATATCACTCGGGTTATGAACATAGTCTTTCTACATAAGCATGCATTGACTCTAGTTCACTTCAAAACTGCCACTAATTTCATCCTCTGTGATGTTAATATATATCCTCTGAAATTGATGAATCAAAGAGAAGAAGATATTTCAGGTTAGATGCACGAGTGAAGCTTAGTAATGGAAAAAATATATGATAATCATATAATAACAGCAGATAGTAAAAACAATAGTAACAAGGCGGCAAATGAAAAAGAGGTATAAGAAAACTCATGAGATATTGCTAATTAGACAAGCAGTGATACACCGTTTGAACAATTCAGTAATTTGACCTATCTTTTATCTGAGTAATGCTTCTACTTATGTTATCTTCCTTTTGGGAGCAATTTGGTTATGAATATAATATACTTCGCCATTTGTACAAGGGAGAGTGTTTCAAAATTTGTCGCTGCTTTGTTGGTCTCATATGACTCTTCTCTAAATTATTGCAAGTCTACTCATTTGAACACTTAAAGATCTTTTTATGTAATCTTATCGAATCGAATTAATTTAGTACTTAACTGATAGAAATCGGAAAGAATGGAAGGAAGAGCTTAGGAATTGTCTAAATTTAATTTCACTCACCTTTACTTCTCGCAAGTAGTAAGCCAGCTGATCTACGATGTCAGCAAACGAAGGTCTCATCAAAGGATCTTCGTTCCAACAAGATCTCATCAGCGTATATCTACAAATACGTTGCAGCACTCATTAATTTTTTGCAGCTATTTATTCATTTAACTCACTCAATCTGAACACAGCGAAACTGCGGAGCATCTAACAGCGACATGTAAACTAGATGGAATTCCAAATCTAAGATGGCACAAACCCTTTACTAATTCCTCTCCCGGGTAAAATACTTCTAACAAATTGAATAATTTTGAAATTGTTAACTGATGGAATAAATGTAAACGTATAAAAACACATGCTTGAAAATGATCGAGAAGCTCACAGTTCTTCCGAGCATTGATGAGGACGTGACATCCGGTAGCCCGTAGAAAGCCGACTTACCAAGGCAAGTGGTGTTGGGATGTCAGGGTATGGTGAGTCACCTGATAAGCAAAATAACTAATAAGAGAGTTTGCTTAATAAAAGTAACTTGACCTTGATTGATTATGAAGTTTTAAGCTGTCTCTCCCTCTGACACATCTGTTGACATATAGCCAGTAAGCTCAAAATTGCAAAGGAAACCTGATAATGTTGTTCCTAGAATATTTAAACTTATTAAATTAATCCCTTTTGATCCATTGACTTATGGAATGGCATACTATTTAATTAATCTCCAAAAAATTGCCTAATTTTTTCCCCTTCAAAAAACCTCTCCCAGGCTATAAAACAAAGTTTTTTGGAATTCTTCAACCGATGTGAATTTGTACGCGTCATCCCATCCCATTTCCCATCATCAGCACTCACTTTTATATTGGCATTTCTATTTCATCAAATATTTGGTGACCTACCATAAGTTGCCATTTCCCAAAGTAGTATGCCAAACGACCACCTACAAACAGGCGAAAAAACAAAGCAAAACAAGACAAAAAACACATTGATAGCTAAAAAGCAACGATTCGTGACTTACCTTTAGTTCAGTTTGTACTTTCTGACGTTTGATTGACATGGGAACGAATTTGTCTAAAATTAATATTCTGATTACAAGTTGAAGAGGTTCGCATGGCATTGTGGAACTTTCGGATTATTCAAACGTTTCGCGGGAAAATTAAGTCATTCAAGGTTTGTCACTCTTGATTGCTTTCTTTTTTTGTATTTGTTGAAATTTTGGTATACAAAATCCCTGCTCAACATCGTTACAATTATTAATTTTCTTTGTTATTAGTAGTGAAACCAGGTTAGATTACCCTTTCCTCGGAACATTGCGCTGCTGCATTAGAAGAGGAATACATTTTCACGCATTTTTGGCCACATCTAAAAAGTGGCTATTTAGCGGTTTTCATTAATTAGAACCCTTTGTTTTAGGGTGCACGTGTTAAGAAAATAGAGAAAGGTTTATGGTCTTATCACGAGCGTGGGACAAAGAAAAAATTCCCGATGGTTCGTAACCCAGGGCTGAGGTTCGATTCCTCATGGGGATAGGAATTTTTTTACCGAGCTTAAAACTTGCCGTCCTTCCTATTCTATTTGAAAATGTACAGCTGAAAACAAACAAACAAACAAAACACAACAACGACCACTAACAATTATAGTTGAAAGTGTCTGCGAGTCATTAATTATCATGCTTTGGCACCGAACACTACTTATTTTTAACGATGGCTTTTTAGACAAAGCGATCAAACCTGACTTGGAAAAATCCTACAACGGTTTTGTTCCAAGATACTCTACGTTTGCATCGGGGGTATAACAACTTTGTATACTACTTTTCGTGTCACTTACACATCGCTCTTGGATGTATAAACTCGATCTCGCAGAGATTCTAAAGACGACCATCTCCATGGAACTTTACCCTGTGTAAATGGGAGTTGTGCATGATCTTGTAACATTAACTTGTATAAACTGGAATTAACAACCCAACGAGTCACTACGCCAACCTGAGGATTTTCTATCCGTTTGGTTGAATGTTAGTTACACCATATCATAAATAAGGTAATCCAAATAAATTGTGGCAGGATGTATATGGGGCCATTTGTCTGTCTGGTTTAGAGTGAAAGAATTTAATACAGCCAGTATTGGTAAAAGAAGCTGGAAAAGTAACAATTAATGATACGATACTTACATATGAGGTTTTGATGTATAATCCATCCTCTGTGATTTCCCTTGCTAATCCAAAGTCTCCGACTTTTGCCACCATGTTTGGACCGATTAAAACATTTCTCGCGGCAAGGTCGCGGTGAATGCACTAAAAAAAAAGTTGCCTTATCGATTCTCTATCGTGCAAATATTATCGGAAAGCAAATAACTGAGTTAAAATATCATCAAGAGCTTCGTTAGGAAAAGATCTGGCTAACCTTCTGCTCTTCTAAATGGTTCATTCCGAGGGCCACCTGTAGAGCAATTTTGAGCAGCTGTCGGTCATTCAGCTTACAGTGCACATTCGCATATTCGTTACTTCCGTCACCCTTGCACCTCAAAAAGCTTTCAAGGCTACCACCATGGACCAATTCGGTGACGACAAGAATTGTCTCTGAGGAAACAAAAGTTGGCTATCAGGAGCAAATTTGCTGCTGCAAATTGATGGGAACTCGACGACGTGAGAAAGTAGCCTCAAACCAACTACCAGCATACACGTTAGGGAGTACTGCGGGTTGGCCGCAACAGTTTTGCAAATATAACCAGGATGTCCTTTTGAACGTTCGCCTCCTCGATAATTTTCACAGGGACGAACATCTCCATGGAGATGTTCGTCTTTAGAATCTCTGCGAGATCGAGTTTTCTTGCACACTTATTACCACCATTACTTTCCATGAAGAAACACATATTTTTTTCGTAGATTAGTAAGAATGTTATTTGGATAGTTGAAATAAACCTCACCTCCTTGAACCCATGTTCCAATTAGGTTTACAATGTTGGGATGTCGTCCAGCCTGTTTCAACGTTCTTATCTCATTCAGTAACGCGGCTTTCGCAAGTGTGCATGCATTACCTAAAATAAAATGATAGACAAATGTGATAATTATTCATAAGTTGGTCACGTTATGTTGTACGTAGAATGCAAAGAAAACGAAGAATACTGAGAATACTCTGCCAATCTAAACACCTTGCTACAGATATTACGTTAAAGAATTCAGATTGTAATTGGGTAACATACAATTGTCCAAAAAGTGCGTATAATCGCATTATATTCGTTATCCGCCCACACTGCCGAGAAAATAATAACTGAGAAAATAATTAAGCCAATAGGATAAGACCCTTATGCATACCTTTCAACTTCTTTACTGCAACATCAGTAGTGCTGCCATTCCTTTCACCATAGCGACCTTTGTAAACGATTCCATATTCTCCTTCACCTAGTACCTCATCGAGTACTTCGAGAGTACCTCGGTCTTTTTCGCTCTCCTCTATCTCAATGAAGAGAGATGTTTGTATTTCGTCGCTATCTTTGTCACTTTCCATCCCACTGTCTTGATACGAAATAATGTTGACATCACAGTGACTACAGCCATCTTCGGCACTTTGGTGACCATTTCGTGAGTTAAACAACTCTTCTGCATAGCCTTTTTGATCAAAGATAGAATTTGGGAAATGTTTATCTCCGACATCTAGTGGAGTCGGAGTCCTTTCCTCGGACGATACTCTCGATATCGATTCAACTCTCCAGTCGTCATGCGTATGCTTTTTCTTGTTTAGCTGCATATTGTTATTTTCAACAACTAACGACGAAGTGACAGCATTTACCTCTAAAAGCTCACTTTCTTCCGTATCAGCATTTATATCTTTTAGTATCACCTCAGCCAAATCTTTGTTGTCTATGCAGGCCACATAGATCTCTTCCGCACCTTCATTTCCCTGATGTTGATACAGACAGAAGTGCAACATATTCAATTGAAAGCAGTTTTAAGGTGTTAGACATCGTTACGTTAGTGCCCTGACGATCGAAAGGCCTAAATTCTCAGAACAAAAAGAATAGTTTATTCTCCACTCTGAGTATTCTTGCGAATTTTATTTAACAGCGATTAATGGTTGGGTTATTATTTATAGTTGGAAAAACAGTTTTGTGGGCGTTTGATCAGGTTAACTTTTAGTTGCTATGAAGTTCAATTGTACTCAATGATAAGTGCTACCTCATGATTTCTTCTTGCACGTCGATACAAAAACGCCATAATGCATCCGCCCATGAATGCAATTATTGCACCACCACACACTCCAAGCGTAGTAAGCAGGGGAACAGAACGTCGTTGTTCCTTTATTGGCGGTGCTGTAGTTGAAGAAGCTTGTCGAAATAAGAAGAACAATTAAAAAAACAGTGAGATAACACTGGATGGACCTATCGAGCGCATTATATGGTGCTGCTGGTCGTTTTTTCTCATAGCGTGAGAAACTGAAACCTGATTATCAGCCAGCTACGATTTGCATAGAGCGAGGAAATATTAAATTTTCACTTTTATTTAATTGCTTAGTTGGTAAAAATGATGTTTTTCTTCAATTTAGATCGAGTAAAATCTCATACTGAGTTCTGCTACATGATTGGCCCACGAGGAAAATGAATGCAAAGCTTTATATCAACATGCAACCTCACCCAACTTTTAATGAACAGGAACATGAGATTTGGAAGCTATTTCCCCAGCGCTGCTCTTCGTGATACATGTGTCCAGTATTCAATTGAACTGTTCTAAAACACTTCCTATAAGTGCCTTTTGAAAGCATTTCTTTCAAGTACTTTCATAACCTTCCCAGAAGAAATTGTCGTTTCACAATAAGATTTAATGCCAAGATAAGAAACAGAGCATATGTCTCACCTAGATCCTTTGTGGACAAGAATGCCGGCTTTGATGCTTTTTCTCCCGCACTGTTATTTGCAAAGCAGTAATATTTCCCATTATCTTCCCTCTTTACACCCTTTATTACCAGCTTGCTATGAATTTGCTCGTCGTCGAGGAAAATCTCAGCTACTCTAGTCCAGTTGTTAGATTGTACAGCAAGTGCGTCATCGTTCTTTATCCATGTGATAGACGGCATGGGATGACCTTTGGCGGCGCAGTCAAAGGTTGCGTTGAAACCAGCGTCAACAGTTTGGTTCTTAGGATCCTCAACAATTTCTGGTGCCAGGGAAGCTTACACCGGCAATTTCAGATGACGATGGAAATTATTTTTGAAGAAAGAAAGTAAAATTTGAGAAGCCGTCAGTGAGTAAAGAGCAAGTAAAGCAGGGAAGGTAGGTAATTAAGGAAAACGTTAAAGGGATAAAGGGAGCTTCGTCACGATAAAGACATCTTGAAATAGTAAGCCCACGCCTTATAGAAGTTCTATCATGTTCTATCGATTTTGTTCAAGCTTGTCTTTTTTCTATCCATGTTACTTATCCACTAGAGCACCCCGACTTCTCTTAGATATGGTAGCTAGTCCATGGAAGATAAATATCAATACGCAGCAAATTCTTAGTACGCACAATTCAGTGCACAAACCATTTGTCATAGAGAAACATAGAGCATTTGTCTCACCTGGATCCTTTGTGGACAAGAATGCCGGCTTTGATGCTTTTTCTCCCGCACTGTTATTTGCAAAGCAGTAATATTTCCCATCATCTTCCCTCTTTACACCCTTTATTACCAGCTTGCTTTGAATTTGCTCGTCGTCGAGGAAAATCTCAGCTACTCTAGTCCAGTTGTTAGATTGTACAGCAAGTGCGTCATCGTTCTTTATCCATGTGATAGACGGCATGGGATGACCTTTGGCGGCGCAGTCAAAGGTTGCGTTGAAACCAGCGTCAACAGTTTGGTTCTTAGGATCCTCAACAATTTCTGGTGCCAGGGAAGCTTACACCGGCAATTTCAGATGACGATGGATATTTTTTTGAAGAAAGAAAGCAAAATTTTGAGAAGCCGTCAGTGAATAAGGAGCAAGTAAAGCAGGGAAGGTGGGTAATTAAGGAAACGCTAAAGGGATAAAAAGAGCTTCGTCACAGTAAAGGCATCTTGAAATAGTAAGCCCACGCCATATAGAAGTTCTATCATATCCTATCGATTTTGCTCATGCTTCTCTCTTTCTTCTCTCCATGTTACTTATCCACGAAAAAGTGCACACTTTAGTGTTTTCCATCTAGAGGTTATTAGCACCAACCAACAAAGAGCACTTTGACTTCTCTTAGGTCTGGTAGCTAGTCCATGGAAGATAAATACCGATACGCAGCAATTTTTAGTACGCACAAATCAGTGCGCAAACCGCTTGTTACCACGTTTTCCACTTTACCTCAGTGTTATATTTAATATGAAATATTTTCAAGAAGCTGATTTAAATGGCGGGGTTGTGAGAAAATGAAAAAGAAATCCCAGTATGGTACGGGTACCATCTGGGAAAATGTTGCTTTATTTTCAGTTTAATCGCTATTATAAAGAAGATATGCGATTTTTTCGTAAGGTGAGAGCGAATTAGAGAAATAAACAGATGAAAGTTTTTAGAGCAGGCCGTGAGATAACTCGTGGGTTTCGTAAGCAATGAATCATTCCGTATTACTCATCAAGTGTAATGCTGTTTCGAAAATGAAATTTATTCCTCTTCTAATTATCACTGATTTGCAGAACTTTGACTGTGGCCAGGCAGTATGATTAAAAATCAGCAAATTAGAATGAGCTTTATGCTGGCACCGCATTTGCTAATTTACTTTGTTATGAAATTTCTACGCAAATGTGTGCTCACAAACAATACCTTATCATACAATTTAACTCATGCCATCTCTTGCTTTATTGCTTCTCGAGGAGATTACTTTATATGTTTTGCCTACCTTGCAGCTCAATTTCGACAACTTTTTGCGTGCAATATCCCGGATAATCATTCTGAGCCTCACAAGTGTAGTTTCCAAACTGTTCCATAGTCAACCTCTTGAGCATTAATATGCAGTGTAGCTCTTTGACTCTTGGTGTACTCTGCAGGCATTTGTCTCCAACTGGGCTACCCTGAGGATCATACCACTGAATATACTTGGTCCATTTCCTAGGATATAGCTGGTGGTCATTCCTTGGCCACGCTATGCAAGTCAAGTTAATATCTGCACCTACTCTTAATGTGCGGTTTGGCGGACTTGAGAAGATATCCATTTCAGGTATCACTAGACGGAAAAGTTAAAAAAAAATAATTAAATGCGTAATCCTCGAGGTAACCTAAATCAATCATAACGATGATTCAATCAATAAATTCATTACAAAAATTTATTTGTGGATCAAGTATGTAACTTAAGATTTGTAAACAAAAATGCAGTTGCTACTAACCAGTTTTACTATTGCATCTGTTGCTCATTTCCTCGGATGAAAGGTTGCTTATAGCACTGGTAACAAGAAACAGCATGAAGAAGTTGCCAGCGTTTCCAAGCCAATGTGTGCTTAGCATTCTGGTCATTAAATGTTCGTCCACTTCCTCATACAAAAGTTACCTAAATGTAAAATCGTCTGTTTGCTATGGCATGATGTAAAACGTCTTTTTTAAAACCAAAGCGGGCAGCAGGTGATGGAAACTTTTCTCTTCATCAACAGATTAATTGTCAAGTTATTACCAAACTTCCATAGGGAAAATGAGCCGAAGTGCAAAATGATAGGCGAGGGAGAGGGTTAAACCTGCTTTTGAGGATGTGGCTTTATCATTATTACTATTATCAGACTTATTATCATTACTTTTACCATCATCATCATAATGATAGCTATCATCATTATTATTATTATTATAACTATTATTATCATCATTATTATTGTATGCATTTTGGCATATGAGTCAATTTTAAAGAGGCCGTGATAGCAGTTGCTATTTCTATTAACCGAGCAAAAATATTTTCTCCAACTGGTCCAAAAAGCTTAAAAGAATAGAAGCATGAGACCCTATCTCAGAAAGTCGATGTTTTGTGACCAAGAAGATGCAATGAACAAAAAAGACAACCAGATGGCTTATAAGTTGTCTCACGTAAAATGTCATATCTTGTTTCCTACGCAACCGATGCTCACGAAACCTGACCTGAATGTAAATTGAAGATCTGAGTAAAGCCTCATGAAAACAGCAGGTGAGAATTTTTCATAAAAGACTGAAGGGAAAAACGTTAAAGAAATGAGAAAACCTCATTCACTTACCTTGTTATATTTTTATGATTGTTGTTGATTTTTTAATTTTTATTTTTGACAAAAAGTCATTTCCCACAGAATAACAGAATGTGAAGTTTCTCACGGATCACTCAAATTGCCGAATCTCCATGAGTTTTGGCACTTAGAGACAGCTTTGGTGAGTTTTCGCGAGCATAAAGTATTTTAAAATTAAAAAAAATTAATAAATAATGAAAGTCGTGATGAGAAAAAGATCATTCAACCCACCTCAAGTCTTTTGCTTGCCACAGCAGACAAGACGAAATGTGAATATATTCAACTTTCTTACGTTGGAATAAACATAAAGGAAACAGGTGTTTTTGCCTACATATGTCACAATGTAGATCTTTTTCGATCCAATAGTATACCTTGAAGCTATATTTCAACTTAGGCCATGCTAAGAGACCATTTAGGCCTCCATTTATGCCCATTAAACATGTAAGAGTGTGTTAAATGATTCTCAAGGTTTGGCAGCAACTGCGATAGACATATCTTCCTAATTACAACCCAAGTTTAAAATTTATGACCCAAAAAAAAAAAAAAACGTATAAATGATATAGCTTATCGTGCGTCATGAGGCATCTAAACTAGCCAGACTTATGAATAATTTTGTGACACCGAATGCGACTTTTTATTTCTATAAGTTCATAAAAATTTTTGGATAAAACATAATTATGATCAAATAAATGGTCCTTTTCGCAGATTTTACAGAAGAGCGAAGCTGTTTTGGCGGGAACTTTGCACATCGATCATAATCCCCCGGCAGTTAGTTTTCAACATATGGGGTTTCTACTTAGCTGACATGCTCTTAAAGCAGATAAAATTATAAAGGCTTGTGAGGGTTTTTATCCTAACCAAACTTTTGTTTCCGTCGGTTTTATTGCCTTACAAAGAAACACTTCGAATGACTCATTTTTTCGAGGAGTTAACAAGAACGAACACGAATTTCAAAATGGCGGCTTTTTAACGTTTGCCTCATTTTTAATCAAGGAATCAATCTCAATAAAATGGAGTTCAAAGAAACTCTCCATAAAAGTAGTGACAAATTTTCTGTTTTGATAAGATGATTAAAAATAAACTTCTGGGATTGGTTGCTTCAATGTAAAAAATGCTATAAATCGCCTTCGGCGTAAAGATGATAATTCATCGTAATGTTGACATCGTGAATATGAAAGCGATCTTTGTACTGATGAACACTACTTAAGCAGTAGTGGAAATAAGGCCTAAAAAACTGCACGGGAATTTGAACCCATTAGCTCTGCGATAACGATGCAATGCTCTACCAACTGAGCTTACAGGCAAACTGGGAGCTTGTCGTTATTTTGGTTCCGAACAAACCCATGAAGTGATGAATAAATGAATGTTATTCGCCAGCTGAGAGGTTCGTATTGGGAAAAACTGTGCCCGAGGTCTTTACTACCACCCTCGGCACGTTTTTTTGCAATACGGACCGACCTAGGCTGGTGGATAGCATTTTTGTATTTTTCTAAGACTGAACGAAATACTTGCAAAAGAACCCAAATGATTTAGGCTGTAATAACGGCAAGGTCCTCTTTAAACTGAACAATTTTTTAGTAAGTAAATGACAGTAGAAAGAGAGGTAATGCAAATTAAACAGAGAGGTTTCACTGAAAATTTTTTATTTATGTAACAGATAAAGGTGATTCAGAAGGCTTCCATACAAACTTTTTTTTTTTTTAACAAATACATGTCACAATCTGACACATGTCAATTAGAGAGCGCGTAAAACTCAAGTTTAATGGCTCTCACGACGATTTTTTTTCTTACGGAAATTATTATTCACTTCCATTGATAATAAGTGTACGAAGAGTACCTCTGCTCAGACAGTAAATGGCAAAGAAAGTTATTGTAGGTAACTTAAACGATAAGTTTTGAAGTTGTGGGAGTTTGCTCGTTTGTTTGCTGCAATGGCGCATGTAAATCTGACCTCTTTTCTCAAAAACACCAAAATCAAATGAGAAATTTTAACTAGACCCAAGGGGAATTTAATGCGGCTCTTTTTCCTTGAATTAATTCGGTTTTTGTTATGCAGTTACTGTACAAATGATCAAATTGAACAAACTTGCGAAGACTTACCGAGAGAGTATTTGTCGTGTTTTTACAAGACTGAAAACTTTGCTCACCGTTCCAAAAATTGTTTGAGAGAATTTAGATATCAAATGAATGAAAGTTCCATCGATTTATTCAATTGAACACAACGATTTCAATGTGACTGTAAGATGACCATTGCAAAAATGCATAACCTTACTCGTGCGCATGCATCCAAGATATAAGTTCTTATCGCACTACGCAAGCCCGTAGAGGCTATTGTGACATCGTTACAAACACAAGTATCTCAAAATTTTAACTCTCTGAGTTACGTTTTGAGAAGGATTAAAGTTAACCGTAAACTTATCTTAGGCCACGTGTCAACTCCTTTAAAGACACATTTGCTACCATAAATTAATTTCGAGAACAAGTTCTTGCTGGCAAACATAGTGATTTGAGAGAAAGAAAAGAGAGGAATAATAAGTTATTAATCGACTTGATTTACTTATAAAATACTTTGCTTGAACATACTGCCCAGCCGGCAAAAAAATATATATATTTAAGAAAAACGGCAACAAAGCTATGTGTGTTCTAGGAAACTCACGAAAGCGTTACCGTGCTCGTGGGCAGAGATGGGAAGATCCGGACGACACTAAGAGCCAACCATATTGCAGGATTAGTTGCCGTACCCTCTGTGAGAAAAATAAATGAAAACCGTATATGTGAACTGGCGATAAAGACGTGAATATGAAAGCGATCTTCGCAGTAATTTCCACTACCTGAGCAGTAGTGGAAATAAGGCCTGAAAAAATTCATTTAATGTTGACATAGTTATCTATTTTGACACTATGAAAAGTAAGCTGTTCGTAAATTTTTCGCGCGCGTTGCAGAAATATTTGAGTGATAAGAAACACAATAGCCTTCATTTGGCCCAAAAATATGCTCGTAAATGTGTTAGCTCATTCGGATCAATACAAAAAGAGAGAAATTAGAGGGTGTCAACGGGGTGATGGCTTATACGGCTTGCGGTTCAAAACTTTGGCCAATTCACGGCTATCGGTTAATATCTGGGATCGGATGCTTTAGAGCTGAAAACGTTCTAAATCGACTGCAGGGTAAAGGATATGATTCATTTTAAGATTGATATCGTTATTCATTTAATGCATTTGCATCCTGGGCATAGTGGGGAAAAAAGCGTCTGCTTGCTAAACCGGATGTCTCCCAACTCATGGGATTGACAGACCATAATTCTTTCTTAATTTTTTTGTTAAAAAGACCATGCTAACAACCCTTTAACTAAAGTAACATGAACAAAATAACAGAATTAACTTTTCGGAAAACAATTTTATTTACTTGTCAAGTTAGCTCAAATATATTTGTAAGTTGAAAATTTCTAATCTCAAATTGAAAAAGAGCGCCGAAAAAATTGCTGGGTTAGGCTAATATGACGATTGCTGTCAAAGATCTAGAACAAGATGCAATTGCACTTTGATACCAAGGAATTCCTGTGTCTGTACTTGTCTTGTAAATTCTTGATGTTTTTCTTGGATGAAGCAGGTTGGAACGTGCATTAAACAATTTGAAACTTTGTTTCTTTTAAGAAATTTTCTGTACAATAAAAGGAAAATAATTGTAGGAAAGCCAATACCTTTATTTTGCTTTTGAATCTTTTGTTTACTTTTCTCTATTGTATTTCCTGTTCCGACAGGTTAAAATGTGCATTCAATGACTTGAAGTTTTGCCACTCAATTTCCCTTTTTGAAAGGGACGAAATCTGTCGGAAAGCCTTTGTTAGGTTGTCAGAGAATGTTTCGGAGCATTTTTCCTAATATGAAATTGTTTCATTTTGGGGTAAAACTGTAGGGGTAGCACTGCCTTAAGAGCTAGGCGAGCTGCTAAGAATTTGTTTTTCGTACAAACACCAGGCTAACTACATTTATCCGTGTGTTCATTACTTAGGGAAACAAAAACAAAACAAAAATATACTATTGTGTACCTTTGTTTTCTCTGTACGAATCAATTAACGCAGCTTACTTAAAGTTGTGGTCCATTCCTCCTTTGGATTAGAATAATATTTTATAAGGCAACAAACTACATAAGTTGATTGTAATTCTCTGTTTATTTGTAATTGACACTGTCGTGGAATGATCTCATCACAAAGCCTTTAAAACGGCACTTGTTTGGCAGCTTTGAAATCAATCTCATCTTGGCTGTTGGAGTTGCAGTACCATTTCCCTCTTAATCATAAATTCATGATCTCCTTCATAGAAAAAGGATTTCTTCTGGCGCTTTTGGTTTGCTTGATGCAAAACAGCGTCACCAAAGGTATTTTTAATTTTCAATATTCGATTTGTTCAAACGATTCCTATCGAAAGGTCCTGAAACCTCTCAAACTATCCTCACTGACTATCAGTTAACAAATTTTACATCGGACTTTTCTATCAGTACCAATATGATTGCTTGATGTATTTTTTAAGCTCTCATGATCTGCGTTTGCTTCAATACTGATTACGTTTTTTGGAGAATAACTAAAATGCGCGCCCCGCCACCCCCAAATTTAGGGGATGGGGCGTGTATGCAATTCAATTGGCGTCGCTAATGCTGAGACGTTTTATTAAGCTGAGACCTGGCTATACAACGAAAGATATTAGTAAGCGTCAAAGGACTCGGATTCCCAGAGAAATATGTCCAAAATCAGTTTTAGTCTTGTCAAGATTATCCCTTACCATAAGCAAGCTTTATTCAAACGAAATAATGCTTCTGAAAAATAAGAAAAAAAAAAGTAAAAAAATACACGTTTCCTTTATAGTTCACACTTGTTTGGTTCTGTACTCGTTTTATTCATGATCGACTGCCTTGTAACATCCAACTCGTTTTCGAACAGGTCTGGAGAGTGAGAACAGAAAATGTTCCGCAGCAGGTCACATACCTGTTACACTCCAATGATGCTTCTTGTATTCGAGGTTAACTCTCCAATCTTCTGACATCCATTGTTTCGTGTATTTTTTCTTGTTTTAAAGTAACTCTCTTATCTCATGGCTTATTGACCTTTATTTCGTTTTAGAGATGAGATGACATGTGTAGTGTGCTAGTCACTGCACCCGTAATATTCTCACGTTTTACTAATATTACCGATATAAAAAACAACAACAACAACAACAACAAGAAAACAAAGCAAAACAAAACAGCTGCTTTATAGAGTGCAAGAACCGACTTCAGTTTTAGCTTGAGATGTGTGGTGTGCTAATTACTGCACTCCTAACATACTCCTATTTTACTCATATTTCCGATGAAAAAAAAACCAATAACAACAACAACAACTGCTTCAGTCGAGCGCAAGACCCCATTGCAGTTTTAGCGTAATCTAGAAAAAAATGTCGTTGACTTTCGTAATTGATTGACTTTTGTGGTTTTGTCTCATATTAATTTGCTTTCAGTGAAATCGGAGAAAACGAATTAAAAAAATTAATTTACAGAGAAAACAAACAACGGGCAAACTTGCTTTCCATCACCCTTTCATAGATCAGTTTTCTGAAGATAGATTGAGTCACGTTCCAAAGCCTCACCACAAACAAAATTTGAGATACTAATCTAGGTTAGACCTAGTCAAGGGTCGTGCTTAATAATTGAAAAAATACAGAGTTTTCAACTCTCACATTTTCCCCATTTCAGTGTTCAGACGTAATGATTGGATTTTTTTTTGGAGCCCTCTATCTTAAGTGTAATCCCTTCAACACAGCACTCGCATTTTTGCTAATTCTGATTAAAAATAAAATTCTCTTTCCGCAATTTTAGGTGTTCAGAGGGGTAAGATTGACATGCAGGTGAGAAATGGTGATCTAACTTGCCAGTACGTGTCATTCAGCAGCAAATTCTCAGGAGATGGAACTCCAGTCAGAGTATTTGCTTCAATTAATCATGGAAATAAATCATCAGGGATCCATGATATAGCTTTCATTTGGATCGAAGATGTTACAACGAGCCGTTTCAAGGCCTGTCTCGTACAAAGTGGCAAAAACTTAGAGAGTAACAGCACTATGATTGATTGGTTTGCATTCCAAGGATCACAAACGGGAGTATCTCATGGCCAAGCTATTTTTAGTCTTTTCACAACTGGATCACAATGCAATCGGGTTAAATTCACTCAGGTATGAATACTTAAAGCGTAACAGTCGCTGAGTTCATAATCTAGTCTAGTTTTTTATCTTTGTTCACTCATCTATTTTTCTTTTCTATTTCTTTTAAATAAGCCGTTTACATCGATACCCAAAATTTACGTGGCAGTACAGCATGGAACTCTAAACCAAGTTCAGGACGCCATGAATATTTGGATTGCGAACGTCTCCACGAATCATTTTGAAGTTTGTTTACAGGAATCGACGACATTCGACGGCCTTCACGATAAACTTTTAGTGGTATGTTGAACATAGCAATTACAAAACAGTTATCACACGGTCAGGAAGTCTATGATATTTATTCTTCTTTTTTGCAGAATTGGATGGCCTACGAACGTTACCCACTATCCTGGGAGGCAAAGGAGTCCTCAGCTGTAAGTTTTTCCGAAAACGAGGTACCATCTACAAGAGACAGTTACGCCATGTGTAAGGTATGAATTACCCCATATTAACCTGCCATCAACTTCATCACATAGAAAATAATCGAAAGCATCTCTGCCAGATAAATCAGGAGCTGAGAGCACAAACGTAATTATCGGAAATTTTTCAATATGTGCGAAGGTTATACATGGTCATCTAACTCCAAACGGAGAAAAATAGAAATATACCAAATTTAGAAGCTCTACCCCTTATTATAAAATTATGAAGATAATGGCAAACTTTTAAAAGGTTTTAAGACCTTACGGAATGAGTCCCCCCCCCCAACATATTCCAAAATAAATCCTCCAATAGTACAAACCCTCAGCAACGGGGGGGGGCTTCATCATTTAATTCCAATGATGAACATTCTTCGAGAGATAGAGGTGGGCAACATTGACCGGTCTTTACATGGAACAATGTTAAGCAACAAGCTTTAAAGAATTAGGCATAGAAATATATATAATTTTTGGCAACTTCCATTTTTCAGAATGTCACTTTTTCAATTCCATTTTACTCTGCACCTGTGCTACTTACAACTGTCATTAATGGTGGTGATAACAATGCAAACAGCGATTGCTCCGTGAAAGGTCCCATAATCACTTGGCTGGAGGCGAGATGCTAAAAAAAATATCTAGACATTTATATAATTAGACCTAATATGGAAACCAGAAATTTTGTGAGACCAAAACAATTTGGGTACAGCCAAAGACAGAAATTAGTCAAAAAAAAAAAAAAAAAAAAAGAAACCAAAATTTGGCAAGAGTACAAAATTAGTCAACCGCTCTAACATGATTTATGGAGGGTCTTTACTAAGTACATGGGACAGCCAGGAAAAAAGTTAAAATCTAATTAAATAGTTTCAAAAACTAATTGAATATGTATTGTCAGGAAGATTGGCAAAAATTACAACAAAACTTTAAATGAAGATTTTCTTTTTGAACTGAATTAACCCAGAAAGTGACGTGGTAGGTCTCTTCTGATAATAAGGCACGTTACACAAGACCACTATCTTGCAATTTTCCAACCTCTTTGGTGAAGCTAAAGGAGGACAACAGTCATTGAGTTATCCCTACTTAGTGGTTTGAGGAAATGCTTTGACCTCATGTTTTAACAACAATATTTTCCCTTTCTTTCTTTTAAGGAAGTGACTACCTCTTACTTTCGAGTGTGTATAAAGGATAGTGCTGGATATGATGGTCAGAGAAGCAAAGTACTCGTTGATTATTTGGTTATCGGAGGTGAGATGTTATGATATAATTATCATTAAATTTACAAACTAAAATACATTTAGCTGATTTCGATGATGTTAGCCATCGCAAAAGTCTTTGGGGTTTGGAATCGGGAAAAATATTAATAAACTCTCATCGAGTGGGTTTTCATAGGCATAGAATTCCAAGAATTACACAATTATATTAAGGAAACCAATTAATGTAAATTAAGTGCATATTATCTTCGATTATTCTTCATACTGTAACACCTTAAATTCTGGTACCTCAGTTTTCTGTAGGTATCAAGTAAATTTCAAACATTCATTTCCCGAACTGCAAAAGATTGGAACTAACAACCTTTCGATTGACGCGCTGGAAAAAAGGAAATGTTTTGTCTCTTTTCAAAGTAAAAAAGGAAACATTTCTTTGAAAATTTTAGTTTCCTTTAGCAATATTTCTTACCTTGAGACTGTATCATTTGCAGATTGTAAAAGTTGTACTATTTTAAGATGTTCATAGCAAACTTAACCATTTATTAATTTTATTGAGGCACTTACTCATTTCATCGAGACCCACTTAAGACCGCCTTAGGGAGTTGGGTTCCCTTTTTAAATTTAGTGACATTTTTATTATTACTATTATTACAATTACCATCATCATCGTCATCGTTCTATAAACCCTATCATCAATATCATTATATGGGGTGGAAGAGAGCTAAAAATATTGGTATCAGCTGTTTCCAATCTTCCGTCTATTGTAAACTCTAAACTCTACTGGTACCGTTATGTACTGAAGTTTTTGTATCCAGCTTTTACTCTTAACAAATAAATATTTCACTTACAGATCTCGATCCCTGTTTAAATGAAAGTTGCAAGTATCACAGCCATTGTGTAACCTTGTCTCCAAACCGATCTACTTGTGCTTGCGAAAGCAGCTGTCCGTCATATGAAGAACAGGTCTGCGCATCTAACGGTCGCACATTTACCAACTTGTGCTTGCTTAAGCAAGACATATGTAAAACACGTGGGAATTATACCAAGTATCATCCTGGAAGCTGTATAGGTACATTATTAATGAAATCTAAAGTCTTTAAATTGGTTTAGCGTTTGTTTTAAGGCCATTTATATCAGAACCTTATAAAAACTAAATTTCTTTTCCTAAATGTCTCACGCTCGATAAAAGTATTTCGCACTTTAATGAAAAAACCTTGCTTGGTTGCAAACGTGTATAGTGAACAAACAAGGGGAATAATTTGCGCGTCTGCCGTTGCTCGCAGACCTTTCGAGAAGAGACTACCCTGGCTTAAGCACACTTAAGAAAACCATCCTGATAGATAGCTGTACTTTTACATTTTTATTGAAATGGTATACTCGACTGTTAAATTATTGCCGTTGAACAAAATTTACCATGCTGTGTAATTTTGTAAGATATAATCCTAATACAAGACTCAACTCACTAACAACTTTTCAGTTGTCCCTCGGTGGTTCAGGCACCGACAGCGAATTTCGATGCTTTACCAGAGAGCTACATATTACGATGGTGATATGAGCCATGACTCAAAATATATATATATATATATATATATTTTTTTTTTAACCGGTGAACTGAAAATTTCTATCTGCCTTATTCTAATAACAACTCTGTACTTTAGGTTTCCTCTTCAGAAAGGAAGGCATCAATTCCCAAACGTTCCTTCCTGGGCAGAAGACCATTGTGAAGTCATCAAGTTTAAGCCAATCATATTTTACCCTGACCAGAAAATTTATATACAGCTTACTGTTAATCACGTGATCTACAGTGACTCCACTTTGGTACATGAAGCCACAACACCCTGGGTTGAGAGTGTTAACAGCACTCAGTTCACAGCTTGTGTCACTCGAGCTGGTAGGAATGATTACCCCTCGGATAGCTTTGCCACGGTTGATTGGGTCGCTGGTTCTCAAGATGGTGGACTGGGACTAGCTGTCAAACGGTCACCTTTGCCAAGGTAAAGTTATTTTAATGCTTCAGTAGAAAAAGACTTGAATTTTATTTGGTCTCTTGAAAAACTGCTAAAAAACATTATAAAATATAAAATGTATAGAAATTCCCGAATTCCTGAAACAGTAAGCGATACTTTAGCACCCGAAAAGAGTCCAAACTTGTTGGCTACTAGCTTTATGAAATGCTATCGAATCCCTTCCTTACTTTCATCCAACTTTTTGGTTGTATCCTGTACATTTTTTTAGGGAAAATATTCTCGGCCACCGACAATTTTTGCAACAGCTGAGCACCACAGATCCCAACTTAAACACGATGCCACCAGTTTGTGGATGGAAGATGTCTCCGTAAATTCCTTTAAGATTTGTCTTCGGGCGCTGCAGAATTTTGCAGGGGTACATGACGACATATCGGTGGTGAGTGTTTTTACGTTTAGGAATATAGCCTTCATTGCTTCCATGGGATCGAAATTACAGTGAGAGGAATAATGATGAAAAGACATAATTATATCGGTCAAGATATTTCTTAATTAAGAATTGTTAAAGGCACACTCTTGGCAAAGAACTCGACGTCTTGGTGAGATCACGACGCAGTTTTCAACACAAGGGCCTCAGCACAAATAAATAGAATCGAGCTAACGACCATCATTGCATTAGCTACACGTAAAGGCTTTTCTGAAACTTAAATATGCACCGCGCTTTATCACAAATTTAAAAGCCGCTTGGGAGAGAAGTCCATTTAACTCCCTACTGTTCTTAAACAGAGTATTTCTAACAGAGGAAGACAGGGAGTCTATTTCCTCCTCTCTTTTCCCAAAGGTAAATTATTGTTTTCGCCATTGTTTTCTTTTATCAAGCAACTCTACATTCAATTAAGTATGCGGTTGCACAAAGTAAACCATCGGATTATGGAGAAATCTTGCCGCCACCTTAGTTACCCTATTCTCTTATCCGTCTATGTGCATTGTTTTTTTTTTATTTAGAACTGGCTCGCGTTAGAGTCCCTTCATAGACCACTGTTTTCAGAACACAGTGATGTAAACTTTCAGAATAATCTTTCACCATCTGAGAGTTACGATTTTGCCGTCTGTGAGGTGAGTTCAGCACGGAGTGATTTGGAACATCATACATGCTAGCCATACTAGTAATATGCTTCTCTGTTTGTACATCTTGTTTTTTGTTTCGGTGTGTCGAGAGTCTTTATTATTTTTGCAGCTTGATTAATTGTCATTGTCTTGTTGGGATCATGTAACAGCTAAACATTCTACCAAATGAGGAAAGACAGCCGCAGAGTGCAATGGAATTGCGAGTTGGATTGAGGTAATCCAGAGGGCTTTCATATTCTCTTTTAAGAAAAAATCGATTTCACCAATCCAAAAATCTTTGAAGCTAGATAATTCTGTATCAAGCGTGGAAGAATAGAGGCTGTTAAAGTAATGCAAATTGTCAATCGATACCATTTTCAGATGAGGCTATCAATTGACAGAATAACACTCTTACAATGATCTTCATGATAAAGTGGGAGAAAAATCGCAAGCACGTACTACAACTACCTTTATGAAAGTACGATTTTATGTTTGGACATTCTCTTTGACATATTTAGCTTCTACTCAATACCATTTGAAAAGTAACTCAACTTTCTCCAGCCATAATTTTTTCACATTTTGTCTTTTTTTTTTTTCAAGTTTATCACCCCCTCCAGGTTCCGCATTTGCGTGAAGGAACTGTTCATCCAGCATTACGATCCATTGTTGGTATCCTATGCAGTACTATCAGGCTAGTGAATTTTCAACCTCTATTCAAATGGTATTCTTGGGTACGTTACTGTTGTCAATAGGTTTTAAGCCCTTGATATTCCAAACTAGGATACTTTAGGGCTTTAATATATAAAACAAATCAAAATGAATAACTGCTCACACGTGAAATAGTAATGATACAGGTGCAGGAGTCGACTTTTGACATTCTTCTCGCTCCGCGGTAAACTTTATTGACCAAACATAACCCAATCGCAACGAAAACGTTTAGGAAAGCGTCGATGAAAAATTGTCACTTGTCAGTTTTGAGTGTCTGGAGAATAATGAAGTCTCGATGATTTTGTTGTGGCTGTTATATGCCATGGATTATATCAGATAGAGGTGTCGAGACAATTCCATCACGATTCTCGTTCTCAGAGAAACGCGGGAAGTAACATGCCGTCAATATTCATTTCATGTTGATGACCGATTTGTGAAGGACGGCTGAAATAGGTTCATAACATACTTTTAAAGTCTTAAATTGTGCCAATGAGGCCATTACAGTAATCGTGCCTATCAGACTCTTGGACATCAGGCCGACATCTTAATATAACAAATCTCACTCTCAACCATTAATTTTCCTCCCTTTATCTCAAAAGATGTCTGCGAGGAGGACTGGCAGTATTTCAATGGATATTGCTACAGGAAAGTATCTTCTTGTGATTCGTGGACCAACAGCCAGGGTACATGCGCAGCCCTGGGGGCTAATCTTCCCAGTATCCACAGTCAAGAAGAAAATGTTTATGTTCAAAGTCTACATGATGGGGAGCATTCTTGGCTGGGGCTCTCCGATGTAAAAACTGAAGGGAAATCTGTATGGAGCGATGGAACATCGTACGACTTCCATTACTGAGCGGAACACCAACCAAACAACTTTCACGATGAGGACTGTATTCATACGCTTGGTGTCCTTCAAGATCATCGATACGAATGGAACGATGTTAATTGCAGTGACTGTCACAGATTCACTTGTAAGAAAGGTAAGACATAATTTTAGGGCCAAATTGAATCTGGCAGTAGTGATGAAAAATGAACAGCATTTCTAAATATTTTACTGTATATATCATCTCTCCTTGTAACTAATAAAAATAGACATTCTTTTTTTTTACCTTCAAAAAAGAAACTGCGCGAAATCTTAGCTCTTTTTTTCTGCGTCAGATAATCGACTGCCGCTAAATTGTCGATTTCCTTGAGCATTTCCATGGAAAAAAAGAAAAAAAATCCCTTAACTTATTTTGTCCAGTAAAACCATGGAGATTACACAACTTTATTTCTATCTTTTCGTCAACAGACGACAATGAATGTAACGATTTCTCCAACGATTGTCCATTGAACGCCTCTTGTGTGAACAGTGACGGTTTTTACTCATGTCGATGTCCTGTTGGTTTTCGTCTGGATGTGAAAAATTGCTCAGGTTTGTCAAATTATTAACCTTCATTTAAAAGAAACAATGTTATGGTCTTGAATAAAAATTAAACTTTAAACCTGTAATACTGTGATGAATTATCACACCATTTTGTCTTGGTTTAAAATTGAAAATAAATGCCATTTCGCTTTCGTAGCTTTGTGATAAAAATTGAATAAAGTTCAGACTCACGAGGAGACGGTTCAAAAACATTAAACTAATAGGGCATGAGTCTAGCCATGACATGTCTTTACTCTTTTTCATCGTTAATTTAAAATTTATTTTAAATATTAAATATACCATAAAAATAAATTTTTTTTTTCGTTAAGACAGATATAGACGAGTGCAGCTCAGGGTCATTTCCCTGCCATGCAAAAGCTAAGTGTGTCAATACTCCTGGTTCCTACTCTTGTATATGTTCAGCAGGATACATAGGAGATGGAAAGATAAATTGTAACAGATCAAGTAAGTAAGAAATCACCTCAAAGAGTCAACGTACTCTCTATCCATCTGGTAATAATGAAAAAAAAAAAAAAAAAAAAAAAAAAAAAAAACGCCTCCCGAACTCTCGATCCCTAGAGGGACATTGAAAAGGAAGGTGTCGCAGGGGGGATTCAGTTTTTGGAATTGAGTGACATACAATACAGAACAGACTCGCCTTTCAAATGAACACTTCTTTTCGACCTGTTTATCCCGCTCTAGTTTCAAATGTTTCATGTTCTAGGTTTTCACTCAACAGCTAGCTGCGCAGGGCTGTACAAATCTGGTAAAACAACCAGCGGTGTTTATACAATCGACCCCGATGGTTCTGGTGCCTTTGATGTATTCTGTGACCAAACAACAGCCGGTGGTGGGTGGGCAGGTTTTCAAAAGAGAATGGATGGATCGGTAAGTTTCTACCGCGGCTGGACCGACTACAAGAACGGCTTTGGTAATCTGAATGGTGAGTTTTGGCTGGGACTGGACAAGATTCACCGCCTTACAAAAAAAAAAAGAACAAGCTCCGAGTAGATATGATGGACACCACAGGCAGCACTGTTTACGCTTAGTACAACATGTTTGCAGTTAGCAGTGAGAGGAATAAGTACACGCTTAGCCTTGGGAGTTACTCAGGTAGGAGAAAAATGTTCGCCACCATTTGTTATTGATAGAAGCTTAAGTACTTCGTCGTGGACTTTAACAAGTGAGACTAAACGTGTTCGAAAAATATTTTCTCTTTAAATGTGGCTTAAAATGTGGTAGGGTACATATATCTTTTTTTTCATAAATATCATGTTTATCTTGTGCCCGATTTCTTCAGTATCGCTCGCGGCTGCAGTGCACCCAATAGAGACGAATAATAACGAAATTTAGACGAAAAAAAGCACAAATTACGCAGCACTGCATCTCCAACTTACAAATAAACTTCAATTGCTTTAAAAAGGTCATTTTATTTGAATTTACTCATTGCACCCTTTGCCTTTTAGATTAAGTTAGTTCAGATTAACTTAAGTATATTATTGAGAGAACAAATAAAACGAGAGATTAGCGACATACGATAACAAGCAATACGACCTGTGCAAGTCATAAGCTTGAAACTGATAAGAAAAATTCCAGATCGTGGGCCTCAATGTAAAGGTGATTCCATAGTATTGCTCTGTGAATCCTGGGGATGCGCATTTAAGTCATGTAATCAGGCGAATAAGCGTGCGCGCATTCAGAGAACACGGTGTTTATTGTTTTTCAATAATTAAATAGACCATATTTTTATTGCATAATTTTGGTGGGCAAATCATCCCCTTCTTATTGGAGAAATAAGAAAAGAAATTCATTGAAGGGAAATAAATATAGCTAAAACCGTCTACGAAGCCAGTGACCTGAGAATTCAAATCATGACCTCGAGCAACGTTTCGAGTTGATGTCGCTTAAAATTACGTCATTTTTACACAAATTATACATCAAATTTTTCCATATTTTCGAGACTTTATACTTATCAAGTTTTTTTTTTAACTGCTATTTTAAAAGACCTTACTTCCAGCTTCTGCAAAGTGTATCGTGAATCGATGAAATGATGCGCGCGATTACTCTCATTACAGGCATAAACGGGAAAAGTTTGGCTCATCATATCCCTTAAACAAGCATGTTGATCTATCTATTTAATTTTATTTTTCGAAACAAACAATATTAGGGAACAGTTGAGGCGAGTTTAAAAAATATATGTTCACTTGATAATTTGAGGAATCACCCTAATTAAGTCCAGCGTGATATGTATAGTAGGTTAAAAAGGGCGTGCCACGGCTACTGACCGTCACGGCTACAGAAAGTCGCATTCTGTCAGAAACACGTCAGCGGCCATTTAGTATTATATTTGGGGCTGTAAAGCTGACCAAGTTGCTGCTACAGAGACTTGGCTGAGTTGTGATGATGATAGATTACGATTTAAACTTTTTCCTTTCCACTATAATTTATCTCTTTGACTACCGTTTTTCACTGAGTTTGGTGACTAAAGTATCTAGAAATTGTAATTTATGTAAATAATAACGGATTTTCATCAGTGACTTTAATACATATGTGAATGAACCGAACAATAGTGAGTCAAGTTAATTTCTGTATCTGCTGGAATATTTCTGTTTACAACGGTGAGCCCCACAGATATTCATGGTCACACCCGGACCGAAAGAGCATAATTAAAAGTGTTCTTTTACCTGGACGTAATCATCTCCCGCTAGTGTAACCAGATTGTAAGATCTACATATCGAGTAGACTGCTATTTTTCCGATCATGAACCGGTGCTATGTCATTTTCACTCAATCAAACCTCGTTTTCACTCTATCAAAACCTCATTTCCTCATCTAACTCTTCTCGAGCTTTTAACATCGTGATGCGCAATTAATTAAATATTTCATATTGATAATTACACAATATAAGTCAATAAGTATTATATTATATCATGTATTATATTATCAATGATTTGTAATGTATCATTATTAGTAGTATAATGATGTTATTAGTAGTGTCGTTATTATTTTCATTATTACTATCATTATCATTATTACTAGTATGATTCTTATCATTATAGTTATCATACATCATTATCACAAGGCAACAACTGTTTCGGTTGCCTTCACTCAACTAGCCTGGCCAATGAACGAATTTAGGATTCCGGCCCGCTTTGAAAGTAAGAAAGGGAGTTAATATTGATTATGCTAAATTCGCTTTTTCTTGTGCAATTCAGACACCATCGAACCTTTCTAATGCTTTTTGGGTGGCTTTTTCAGGAACTGCCGGCGATTCTCTTTCTTCTCATCGTGGCCGTCCCTTTTCAACCAAAGATCAGGACAACGACGACTTGTCTAGTAACTGTGCTGTGATCTTCAAAGGAGCCTGGTGGTACCAGAGCTGCCATAATTCTAATCTTAATGGACTTTATCATCATGGGAAGCACTCATCTTATGCCGAAGGAGTCAATTGGAATCACTGGAAGGGATATTACTACTCCGTCAAGAGAGCTGAGATGAAAATTAGACCAGTTTCATTTTAAAACTTTCTGTTTGTTTCCTTTAGAGCGTTTTCTGTTTTCATTTGTAAATGGAACACAGATAAACAGGGTTAGATATATAGATTTCCAAAAAGGAAATGTCGATTTATTAAATCGCTTTTACAAGTATCCATGTAGTTTTGAAAGCTTTCTAAATAACTCGCAAAAAAGTGCCTTACAAATTAAATCAAGGCTAGAAATAGCCTAGTAAAATGCTGAATTGAATTAACTAACCTTACAGAATAACAATTTCATCACAACGAGTTAGGTTTTCGCAGTGTTCATTCAAGAGTATACAGAATAAAAAGGAGGGAAAGCTAGACAAAAATAAGTACTCAGCTTTTCAACGCAGCGGACTCTTTCTATGTCAAAAGTGGACTGTCGTCGTCGTCTGAAGAGTCAAATATGCGTTTTATTCATTTAGAAGTTTGTTTTTTTATGTGATTCTATTGAAGACGAGGACGAATTGATATTGATGGTCAAAATTTCATCCGTAAACACAGTACCCAGAAAGAGCTTTGCTGCTGTCGGCGTTGGACTTTGTTGTTTTGTTGTTTCGACAAGAGAGCGTTTTAGTTTGAACCATTGAAGTCGAGCTCCTGAATATTCTTGGCATACTTTTCTGTCGTTCTTGTGAAACATGACTGTAATTGTTGATACTCTGTACATTTTTGTTTCCTGATAACTGCATTGTGTGACTAGGAAAATATCCTTATCATTTAATGTTTGAATTATTCGTTTTCGAGCACTGTGGTTTGTAAGGAAAGAGTTGTCAAGATCGGCTTTCGCAACCATTCTTTTCATTAGACCGTTAAATTTGTTAACTTCCATTGCATTGGCTTTAAACCAAATTTTATCAGAGTTTTTTGTAGTATGATCAACACCCAGATAAAAGATAATGATAGATGATGACTGGACAGAGAAAACAAATTCAAGTATTCATTTCTAGGTGTTTAATATTCTTAATAATTAAGAAATACTCTTACGTCCAATTAGGAATACTCTCATGGTATTTCCTATTACAAAATGTGGACTTGATAACCAAAATAACACGTAATAAGGCTTCGGGATGAATTTAAGGTTGTTTGAATCTCAGGATCTTTAATTAATTCCCCGATATTAAACAAATCATTTAAACAAACCAGCAACTGTTATAAGTCAGCACAATTACGAGTTCATTAGACCAGATCTCACGGGTCTCCTGCAAGAGATAAGAGTTCTATGAGTTTTACTGGAACGAGTAATAATGTACTAACACGCATAAAATTACTGTTTGGATGCTGAGTAATGTAAAAGTACTGTTTAAAATAAGATGATTCTACTAGGTTGATAGATAACTGATTTTTGAATAAAGACAGAATATCGAAAGCAATCGTGGAAGAATGAGCGTCTCCTGGACTAGAAGAATCAGTAAAGAACAAAGCCGATTAACATACCTGCAAATAAGCGTTTACTTTACTGATAAATGTACAATACAGTAGCTGATGAGGGCTGGCAAGAGGATAATATATAGATCATGTGAAAACATCGTAGTTCAAATGAAGAGCACTTGAAATTTCCACTGTGAAGTCACCGTAAAGACATTTATCAATGACCGCAATCAGTGAAAGAACCAACAACAAAAAAAGCTTTTGGAAATGATATGTGGCATAATGACAGTGTTGAGTAGCAGACACACAGAAATGAACAGTTTATGAAAATATCCACGTGTGATCGATCTACAATGATTCGAGATCAATCGCAATCTTCTGTGCCTAAAGGGAGAAGTTGTGAGTGTGAATGTTCCCTTGAAAACTGATGCTTTTTAAGGTCAAAGGTGATAATTAAATGCTTGGAACTTCTTGTGAAAGTGCGGTTTTTAGTAAGCATTATTTCAGTCCTTCGAATTCCTCAACCTGCTATGCGTCAGTTCATACTTCATTTGAGAGTTCATTGCCGGATAGAACTGACAGTAAATTGCTACTTTCCGCCACGAAATTTGCGATGTTGACCTTTCCACATTTCTACTTAACGTGGGTGTTAAATCTTTTTAATAGCTAAATATTTATCCAATTGCCAGAAAGATACCTAATCAGCTACATCGTTTATCTGATACCACGACTGAACGGTTGAGATTGTGATTGTGATTGTCCGAGGACAATTCTCGGCAGACGGAAGTTTGGATGACTTGAGCTAAAAAATGTTATTTCTTCCTGAGAAAATAATACACAAGGATAATAATACCTCCGTAACGTCTCACTTGCCCGCCAAAGCAAAGTTACAATTTAAGTTAGGAAACTCATTAGGATTGTTGTTGATTTCCTTGTCATGAAAGATTTGTATGGTCAAATCCAGTGGTCAATTGCTCCATATTTCGTTCTATGATAACACTTCCTACAGCTTCGGTTTTTTTCCCTAGTCATTTCTCGACACATAAGTAAGACATATAATTCATAAATATGCAAGAAATGCGTCACTATTACTTTGTTGTTGACATTATCTTTAAACACATGAGTAAAAATATTTTCTTAATGGACTATTTAGTTCATTAAAGTGCTACCCACGCAAGGTGAAGAATTTACACTTAATACAAAACATCAAGAAGAGAAAGTAAAGGTATTCTTGATGGAAGACCCTGCTACTTATTGGCTTTTGTAGCCATTTTTAGATCAAAAGAAAAGTTGTGCAGAATCGAACGCAGATTTCAGACAAAATTGTGAGATTTATCAATATCTTGTTACCGTCGTGCGGGGCCAAATTAATTTGACCTGACTGCAGAACGGAAATGATTTAAAACCCTTGAGGCGCATGGAATTCAATTAAAGTTATAAAAAGGTCTAAATTAACTTACAATAGTTTGGAATTATTTAATAATTTAGAGGGAAATGTCAAGTGGTGCTGATGACGGTGGTCGATTTCCGGAACATTTAAACAACAAAACAGCCTAACAAAAACCGCGATATTTTCTCCCGCTAAAAAAAAAGATCGTACTTTTATTTTCTTAAAAAAAAAAATCAATTATAATGTCTGGCTTGTTGATTCGCGTGTTTCACTTCCACATAGGGCCGGGCATGATTTTCGCCGAATATTCTAGAAGAGGAACCGGAGCGTGAGCTTGATCAATATTTAATGACCGAGCTTGTCATAGCCAGAATGTTTCATCATTTAGTCGACAAGTATAATTATATTAAATCGTAGGCTCGGCTCATCTTTCGTTGTATTGACGAGGACATAGTATCAGAATAAAATGTTGATGGCATAGGGCGTACGGGGAAGAATACAAGAAATTAAAAAATCTTTGGCACCCAGACGCTTCCAAAATGTTTCGAAGCCATCCCTGCATTACGGTAAAAAAAAAAAAATTCACAAAAAGGTTGTAAGGGAAGAAGTCTACAGTGATTGAGTGTCAAATCCTGATATCATTGGCCATTTTTTAAAATAACTTTGCAAAATACAGTATGATGTCGCTGTTATCATGGTTGTTACTAAAGACTAAATGTTCTCCCCTTTATTTTCTTCCTTTCGCTGATAATAATGTGGGATGTCTTTGAGGCAGACCCCGTAAGAATCCGGCTGGACTTGTTTTTCATGGTAGTCACAAGTTGCAAAATGGACCAATGAGATTTCAAGGGGTGCCGTCGTTTACTTCCAGTCTAGGTAAAATCGACGCTTGACGTACCAAGAGATCCTTCATTTTTAATAACTCTTTTACGCTCCTTTTGTAGATATAACTCAGTCACTTGTTTACACTTGTTCGGTCGACCGTGAACATCACTCGGTCAGATTGTGTCGTAAACAATCATCGCTCCGCAACTTGACGTTATTGAAATATTACCTGGTTTGTTACGGGGACTTTTTCGGTCACTTGAACTGTCAGCTGTACGCACGTTTTTCAGTCAGCTGTAAAAATAGTTGTTACAGTAGGCATGCTAGTAACTCGTTTTATTATATGGCTGAGATAACCTGAGCCCTCTAACTGGTTATTACATGGTCAGTATTTTTCCGCACGGACCGTTTCCACGGAAACTGTCATAAGCCTTGTAATTTTGGTCACGAAAGCTAACAAACTACTTACTAACCTATAACCAATATTCCTTAATGCGGCCCTCGCGCTCGGTTAGTAAGAAGTTACTATTCCCTTATTCCGTCAGTTGTAATCATACAGTACTCCGTTGTTGTAAGAAATAAATGGCTTAGTTACTCTGTCCGTTGTTTGCTCTTATTCGGCCGGTTGTAATCGTAATACTCTGTCTGCTGTAAGAAATAATTAGCTTGGATACTCTGTCCGTTGTTCGCTCTAATTTGGTTGTAATCATAACACTCTGTACGTTGTAAGAAATAATTAGCTTGGTTACTCTGTCGTTTGGTGAAGAAATAGTGACGGTTGCTCTTATTCAGTGGGTTGTCACAATCAAGGTACTCTTTAAGGTTGCCCCACGCCTCTCTGGCTTTCGGAGGAGACTCATGGATATCGACTTGCTAATCTGTGAGAGGTAAAAAGTAACAAAATAACTAGATAAATAAAACTCAGCGAAATTATTGGTAGAATTTTTAAATAGGTACAAGGCATATGATATATCAAGAAAGTAAAAATTGTTTCTTTATTATGTGTCACCATTCTTTGATAGCTGATAGATTTTCAGGAGCTGGAACATCAAACTCGTTCTTGACGAGAAAGAGCTTTCAGATATACCGGTACCTTCACAAGACGCCGATCCCATAAAAATGCTCCAATTGCAAATAAAAATTCAGATACCACGAAAGTGATCACAGTCAGCTGCAGCTGAAAAATTGGCAAACGAGTCCTTTTGGTCAGAGTGCGTGAATCAGATCTTGGATCTGAAAAATGATAAACATCTTTGTTTACATAGCTATGTACTCTAAAAATGTTCTTTTGAGGGAATTTTAAAAGTCGCTTCAGGTAAACGAAAATCAAGGAAACCGTTTCTTTTAAAATGGTTCTCGTTCCTTTCAAAGTACAGGTAGTTGCCTTTTTTTTGTTTTTGTTTTTTGAGGACAGGCATCACAGTAAACCCGACGTGAATACTGTGGAGAACGAAGAGGAATAACTCACTTAAGGAGCAAAATGAAGATTTTTGTGTGTCTTTCAGTTTGTTGAACGTTTCCTTGTAGCTCTTTTAAATCACCAAGTTGAACGTCTTTCAAGGACGAATGTACACGCGTTTATACAGGAAGTTCACTGACGCCCTCGGACACAATGAAGATGATTAAGCCAGACTCTAGAAGTGCTTAATACTGAAACGAAGTTACTTTGAATCAACGATGGCTGTCACGATTGCACCTATTGTTTCTGTAATTACTCTATCCTTTTTATTCAGGTATGTTTGGTTAAAACTTTAAGAATGTTTAATCTTTATCCTCACTGGTGAGCAATATGTTTGTGTCGAGAGATTATTTTTAAGTAAGCACCTACCTAAGATAGTGACCTATGTGCCACCTAAAAGCTAAATCCATCATTTAATGACCTAAATCATACAGATGTAAGGTGACCTCGATGAATGCCTTTTCCCCAGCTATGTTACCTGCAACGCACTGATATTTTCCCTCATCTTCCTTCTTGACTTTTTCTATAAAAAGTTGGGGTAAATGGTTTGGTCTCGTCGAACTCAGGTGATCTTTGCCCTGAAACTGTATTGGACATCATGTGAATCGTTTTGCTTGGTCCACCTTATATCGGACTGAGGACGACCAGGGGGATGAATTCAAAGTTAAATCAGACCCGATAACAATTCCTAGGTCCCACCGATCCTTGGCCCTTTGATTGGATAGTGGATTATACGGATCATTGTCCTTCACACATGAGATGTTTGGCTTGAGACGATCTTTGGTGCAGTGTAGGTAAAATTTACCGTAAACTCGTTAACAGTGCTTTGGTTCGTTGGATCTTCCACACTTTGCATAGGCTGGGGGTCTGAGGAATAAAAATGATGCAATTATTGTTGCTATAAAGGCTATATGTTCAACAACACCTTTGAAAATAAAAAGAAGCAAGGAAGAAAAGCCTTGACTGGCCTAAGGGAATGAAAAGGCTGGAAACCTGCCTTCGCTATTTGGATTTTTAAGTGCACTTAGAGACAGATCAGCAGTTGTTTCTTGCTTATGCATAGGAGAAATGTTCAAAATTTGTGCATCTCATCATCATTTAATTTGCCTTTCAAGTCCTTTGCCTTCCCCTTCTTTTAGTTTTGTGACGTGGAAGGAAATTTTATGAGGAAGAAAATTATTTCAACTCATAAAAATATCTTTGCAAATGATTGAATGATCTACGTGTCCTCTTCCTTTATGACATTTTTTACGGGAAAAAGCTAAGATAAAGCTTTTAGGATGAATCATTATCATCTTTTGTAGAGACTTATTATTTCCAAATGTAAAAAATAAATACCTCTAACCTCTAGATTACACGAGTCGAGACGAGTCATAAGAGACTTTACGAGGGGGAAGGTTTATAGACTTTCACGAAACCGTAACATAGCGCTCACGACCCTCCCAGAGGGGAGGCTCAAACTCCAACAACATAATATGATGGAAAGCTGATAGGGTTGTTTTTCTTGTGTCCCTTTTTTCACAGAGCCAGTCATCACTCAAGCGTTCTTTTCAATTTCACCTTCTTGTTGCATACCTTGCGGACGAATTTCGACTGATTTTCCTCTGCAATGTGCACGATAACCATTTCCTGCTTCACACGTGTAGCTACCGAGTTGCTCTTCCGTCAGATTTTTCGACATTAACGTACATCTGTGTTTTAACACTATTTGTATACCCTGTACACATCTGTGTCCAGCTGGCTTGTCCTGTGGATCGTACCACTGAATATACTCGGTCCATTTATCGTAATACCCTGCGTCAATATTCCTGGGCTGCGCCATACAAGTCAGGTTAACCGCTGTACCTACAGTACTCCATAAGGTTTTCAAACACTCAAAAAAAATTAAAGCACTCGGTCTGCGGCCTCGTGCTTTCATCAGTTTTCTCGTGGCGGCAGAGAAGTTCTATATTTTTTGGTGCGTCTCGCCTATTCTAGCTGGTTCAGCTTTGCTGCCCAAGAGCTCACCAGAATTTAGTCAAAGACCTAGACAAAATGGGGAAAAAAATCCAGCGCTCCTATAATAATTACTGTATCTATTATGATAAATAGC